ACGGGCAATTGGGTCCGCGATTGCATGTCCCTTTGGGGAAGAAGAGGCAGGGTGCCTTTTCCTTAGCTGCCGGTGGGTCCTTTGGACTTGTACCTGGCGGTGCCTTTGGCGGTGGTGGATTCGGGGTACCTTTCGGCGTGCCTTTACCACCCTTTGGTCTGTCTCCTTTCGGTGTGCCTTTACCGGGGCCTTTGGCACCGGGTGGCTGACCTTTATCTTTACCCGAACCCTTAAAGGGAGGCTTCGCTTTACCGGGCAATGCGGGTTGCGTATCACTGCCTTGTGGGTCGGCCACCGCGCCTTTGTCGCGGTTTCTCCGATCCTTCTCCTTCTGTTCCTTGGTTTTCGTTCCCTGCTTATTGGGGGATGGGCTTAGCGCATCTTTGATGGCCGTCTCGTTAGCGTCTTCCCTCAATTCAGCAATCAATGACTTAAGCTTGGCAAACAACCAATCCCAAGTCCTAACCCGTGAACCCTCATGAGCATCTTTGATGCGATCGATGTGCCGCTGCAGTAGACGACACTTCTTCAAACGGCCAAACAGCCAAGTGAATTTCGTCTGTTCTGAGGGCTGATGTTCGACGGGGATTGAATTCAGGATGTACTCTACACGATTCGCGAAAGCAAGTAGCGATTGGTACGAAAAGGTGTCTAGCTGCAATTCCAACAATGCCTGCTCAGTTAGGTTCGCTCCACGGCGCTGGTCAAGGAAGAATCTGTGGGCAACCATTTGCAACAGTACCCTTCCCCTAGGGGCTGTGTACTGAAGCTGACAGCCTTCAATGTAACCCTGAAGCTGAATGCCTAACTCATTGTTGAGATGCTTCGGGTCTGCAAGAAGTGATGCCAAATGCGCGTCAAACCTCGGAAGTCCCTGGGGATCTGACAGGTCCGCATCCTGTGATGATTCGAAAGCGGGCAATAGCCACTTAAGCAATGTATCAGAACCGGTCCTATCAATGGCACATACCTTGGTCACAAAAGCGTTCTTCCAGGATCTAAACTGAGCAGCATCGCGAGGGAGAGAGTCGACTTTCACCAACGACAAATCCTTGTGCTTGTACACATCATCTTCCGAAAACAGCATCGTTGACCCGACACCACGGCTATTGTAGCTTCGATGGCTCCCGGCACTACCGTGCGGGCTAGGATCAGAAGGGTTTGGTGGACCTCCGAAGTCTAACCGCAATTCCGAATCATCAGAATCGTCATCTGAATACGGGTCATGTTTGACCGGGGAACCATGCCATGAAGGATGTGGTGAAGGATCCTGCCTTATCGATGGTGCTATTGGAGCGGGTGCTCGCTGGCATGAGGCAGCGGGTGGCCGAGTGCCGACGCCGCTGGACAACGGTAATCTAGGTCTTCGAGGGCTAGTTACGGAATCCCGCAATGTATTAACCTCAGCCCTTAACTCAGCAATGGTAGAGGCTAACTCCGTGCCATTGAGGATGTTTGGTGGTGGGTCCGAAGGTGGAGGCATGCTCTGATGACGAAGCACAGTGACCTCGTTCTGTAATGTACGGATTTGCGCAATCAGTTCAGCTTCCTTTTGTTGGAATGCCAATTCACGCTGCTGGACTTCTAGTCTCAACTCGGATCTGGCTTGTTCCACTGCTGCGGCTGCTGCTGCCTTAGCGATTGCCTGAGCCTCTAGAACCGCAGTCTGAGCCTGATTGACAACTTGCGTTCCGAATTGCCTAGCCTCTTCCCTCGCTTGACCCTGGGCCTCCTGGACCACTGCTTGGGCCTGACCATAAACCGTCGACTCGAACTCTCTAGCCTGAGCCATCACCTCGTTAGGATCAAGTCCTATGCTAATGTTTTGTTGATACAACCTCACTCCAGAGCTATCCTGAACCCCAGACCCTTGGGAACCCTGGCCGGTAGGAACATAGGGAATGCTCCGGGCTGGCGCAGCTCCTGTGCGCACAATGGGGCCATCATCTGGGCTCCGGTTGTGTGGAGATTGGTTGGCGAATGGCACCAACGAACCACTACCTGGGCCTTTGTCGGAGGCTGGGGACTGCTTAAGGTGAGGTCCTTTTCTTACTGTTGGCGATGGGGAAGAGCTATGGCTACTACGCGACCCTCGGGATGACCTGGAGGAAGCTCTAACCGGCAATGCCCTAACCCCACTACTGGATGAAGTAATCCGCAAGGAGCTTTGCTCTTCTGACGACATTTCGTGGGACATGATTCAAGCAATTGGGGACTTAAGCGGGGTTGGCGACTGCCGAAACTCCCGTGTTCTTTTCAATCCCTTGCGCCCTCACCACTCAGAGATGGCGGGAAGGACAAGGTCGCACAGCTCTGTGCGGCGGGCAGGGTGAAGTGCCAAGCCTTTCCACCCGTAGCGATCCCAGCCAGAAAACTCAGCACAGATTGACGGTTTGTCGTCCACGTGGACGACTGGGATCCCGTCGCTCAAAGATGAAGCTGAAATCGCCGACCAGAGTCGCTGGGCCTTGTTCGGTCGCCTGATAAAGAGAAGCGGCAGGCTACGCACGTTATACCGCGCTGACACTGCCACTTCGCGCACGTACTCCAACGCGTGCTCAATCAAGCTTTCCGTTGAACATTTGGAATTGACAAGGATCAGTATATTGCTGCGTCGAGACAGGTTCTCGAAAAGATAGCGGGACTGCAAGAAGGTCCTATCCAAAACTCCGTGGTAATCAAAGGAGAGAATATGGGTGACGCCTCCTTGCTCTTCGACCGCGCGATCAATTGCCGCAGCAAGATAAAGTGGATTCTCGTCGCACCGGAGCAATGAAAGTGGCTTGGGCGGCGGACCAGACGGCTCAACTGGACGCTGCTTTGGCCTGGCCTTCTGCTTGGGCCTCCGTTCTGGGATCTCAGGCGCAGCAGTGGGACCTGTTGCCGAAATGTGCTGCGTTAGCGCTGGTCTAAGAGGAGCAGAAGGGGGTTCAGGAGGAAGCGGCCTACCGGAGCTTAGCCTATCGGAACCACTTAGCACACTGAAGTCAGGCTGGTCACGAACAGAAGGCGATCGCGACCTGCGCTCAAGTGAGCTGCCCAAGTGGGAAGATGAAGAAGCTGGCTCGGCGGATGAAGATGCTGGCTCTGCTCGCTCTGGAGTGTCCAAAGAATCCAAAGAAACCTCGGCCAAATCCTGTAGCGAAACGGGCTCCTGCAACACCGAGTCTGAGTCAGACTCTTCCTCCTCCTCCTCCTCCTTCGGAAGGAGAGGAGTCCCCTTATAGATCACGTACCCAGACGCGGAGATCTGCGTAAGCCGCGCGCTTACTTTAAAGAACTTGGCAGCCAATGCCGGCACCTGCCCCGGAGGCTTGTTGAATACTTCCTCGGCGAGGTTTTCCAAACTCTCACGCCAAAGCTGAAGCAGCTTTATATGAAGTGAGCGGCGCTTATTGTTGGCGGCCCGGCCACCTCTAGAAGCGCGGGTGTCGGCTCCAAATGCCGCAGCAAGTCCAAAAAGCTCTTCACGGCGATCCGGTGACAGCATATACGGGTGAGACGAGGAAGCCGATTAACTCCAAGTCCCAATGCAAACCCCCGTGCCGTTAGAGTGGCTTGCAAATTTACCCCCGTGCCGGAACTGTGGCTTGAAGTTGATGTATCCCCCAATGCCGCTACTGTGGCTTGATGTTACCCTTTGCCTGAATCGTTGGCTTAACTGTCCCTATGCCAGAATCGTTGGCTTAACTGATGGCCTATCGGATGATGCAGGTGACTTCGTCGGAAAACCACACTCAACCGACAGTACAACCAACCACAACCAACCAGGATGCGGCCGGTGGCTGTGTGCCAACACGGCAGCAGAGGTGGAAGTGCTTTCGATTGTTCCAGAATCCCAAATCTTATGAGATCAACCGAAACCAGAAATCGAACCTTTGATTCAATCTCAGCTAATCCTTCCAATCACCACGAGGCCTTGCTACCCTGAAGTCGTGAACGGACCTTTGGGCAAGGTGATTGGATTTCGGGTGTTCCGGGTGGCAAGGTGCCGACACCGGCTGTTCGGGAAGTCAAGGAAGATGTTGAGGATAGCAGGGGCTGTTGGCAGTTGCCGAATCAGCCCTGTACCTAGAGAATGGTCCAAGCTGTCTCCTCGACGCAGCAGGCGGAGGAGAGAGTGCGCGCCTCGACACACGAAGTGGAGACACGAACAACAGCTATGGGAAATAACGAGGAACCTGAAGATAGATTGGTACAAAGGCGGTGTCGTCTATGTACCTAGGATGAGATGCGTGATGAATGCGATACAAGGCAATCGTGAGCTCACCTCTCCTGTAGAAGGAGCGAAGCAAATTACGCACAAGCCTGCGCAACCTCACACGGACTCTAACCCAACGTTGGCGCCTGGCCAAGTATGCAGGAAAGAACCTCCTTAGGATGAAGATTCGGATATCGTAGTACAGCTCTGTGAAGAAGTAAACCACACGTTCCCAAAGCGTAGGCCAACCCTCAGGCGTGGGCATACACTAATGATTCTGTGGTTCAGCAATATGGAAAGCTCCCTGTTGGCTGGGTGCCTAAGCAGGGGCAGAGGTTGGCAAGAATGTGAAAGAAGGACAGACTCTACCCGGTGGTTGGCTCTACCTACACGGGGAGTACAGATAACAGTGCAAATATGGAAAGAGATGTGGAATGGCGGGTAGGTCTCTCACAGACCAATGACACTCCGATTTCAAGCTCTACCCTAAGGGAGCAATATGGAAGGTGCTATGGCGTCGGTAGGCTCCTACACTACCTACACCAAGCAAAGCTGAGGCTGTTAACCAGTTAATTGCAGGGCAATCTCTGATTCCAAGACACAGTGATGATAACGCTTCTTTTGTGTCTTGAGCCAAATATCGGTGATAACGTCTTCGAGTGAAACTGCTTCAAGATGATCTACATAAGAAGGGCCTGGGGGCTCGTGATTTCTCAACTGTAACCCGTCGAAAACCCACGCCTCAACAGCCCTGGACCCTACACGCCCTGATGTTGAAAAACATAAGCATCGCAAAGCTTCAAACCCTCGCCCTGTCTGGGCTCCAAGCCCTACAAACAAGAACCAGAAACCTCACCTGATCCTCTTGAATCGCACGTGCTTGCATCGCACACGCTTGCATTCTCAATGCTTGAAGGTTTTTGGCTGGAATCGCCGGTGCTTCAATCGGGAGTGTGCTAGCCTGATCCTGCTTGACCTCCACCCCTGGCAGCGGCCAGCCCACACACCTCGCGTCCAGATTGAAGGGATGTGCTGCACTTTGGATCCGCGATTGCTGAGGCACAAGCCCTGGATAGCGAGTGCCAGCTACCCGATTGCTCAATGCCATGCCGATTTCCGTCATGCCGTACCTGCGCAAATTTCGAGCTTCGGGCCTCAACAGAGGTAGGCCTCTGCGTCTCACCGCTCGAGAAGGACGTGGCCAGAGATTTCTGCCCAGGACTTCATGGTCGGCACCTGCACACCACACTACAGTGTGTGCAGTGATCTTAATCGAGGCCGACAGCCAAGCACGCGACGGGTAACGCTGCTGAGCCGGATACCATGTACCTGGAATAATGCATTCACCGGTGGCAGCACGAGAAGAACTGCGGCGGAAAACAAGGCTGTAGAGTTGCAGACAAGAAGTCACAATTCGGGCACCGCATCGAGTCGTTCCGGAGCCCCCTGCCTGGGACAGCAACCACAGCTTTTCGAGCGGCATCGGCTTGATCTGAGTTTGTGATGAGGACGCCGCAGATCGCTTGTCGTGCATCAGCAGGGAGCGAATCCAAGTGTTGTGTAAACTTGACCTGGCGCATCCCATCGGAGGGTTGAAGATGCACTTATCTTCAGAACCAGGCCAGACGCGACATACACTGTCGGCACCGCATGGAAGCACGTGATGTCTCCGGAGGCGAGGCGCCTCTGCATTTCGAATCTTTGCGACTGGTAGAAGTCAAGTGTGAACTGAGTGTAGATGAGTCTGAGTGGCTGGCTTCAGGCAAAACGCAGCATCGAATGCTGTCAACTCGACAGCTGCTCCGTTGAAAAGTGCCGTGTTCAGGATGTTCTGAACCTCGGAGTAGGACGCAGATGCTTCTGCTTTCTGCTCGTGCCTAACAGATGTTTTCAACCGGGCTGGGGCCACGACACCATGAATATGGTGGAGAGGGAGGACATGCAGAGTTCGGTCTTTGGAAGACCACCTTTGCTCCAAAAATGCGGATGGAACTTCCTGCCTTCCTGCTGCTGCAGGATTGCTCTGTAAGAAGCAGGCTTCCATGCCTCACTGAGAGACCGCATTTGTGCGGTGAGACCTGTTCTCTGCAATTGCAGACTTTTCGTTGCCTCTGCTTCTGTCAGCCAACTCTTAGGCTGCAGCTATTGAACGTGTGAACAACGCCTGCAGGAAGCACCGGTCCGAGAAGAAAATACCACTCTGGACGACACGTCCGTGCCTTTTGGCTGTCCGGTCGTTCCTGATGTGTACAAAATCAGGGCATTCTGCGACAAGACCTGCCGGCAGACCACGCGGTGCGACAAGGAAGGACGGAAATGGACGGAAGGTATGCTTCTTTACTGCGCCCAGTCTAACCGACTTGGTGCATTGTTGACATGAGAAACTGAGTGTTCGACATCACTTCGTGAAGAGAACAAACCGCAGAAGCAAGAAAAGCAGCCGGGCTGCTCCTCAGCCGGATAAGAGCAGACTTGGCGAAATCCACGTGCCCTGGCTTTTGAACAGAGCTTCCTTTTAGGAAAGCCTCCATGCAAGCAATCCTGAATGTAGCCTTCCCGAGACTTGAAGACAAGCTCTGAAGGAAGAGCCCAAAGACAAATGTCACAAAGCCCAGAGAAGTGCTGGCTTCGCTACACATCAACACCCGCAGCACATCGTCTATCGCTATGGCTCGACTAGAGATGCTGAGGCAGCGTGCGGCAGGCGAAACGGGACCTGCCAAGATGGAGTTCACCAGCAAGCGAACTTCGAAGCTGCATGCCTCCACCCCTCTGTTAAGTCTCGTCTACGAAATGCCGAGCACACTTGCCTCCATCGACCAACAGTCGATATGCTTTGGAAGACTCGGTCGCCTTCGGAAATGCTGTGGCACAAGCGATAATGCGACAAAGCAACACACGGCATTCTGCCAATTCTAACACTGCCAGCAAGATCTCCACACACAAGGTGAAGAGACTTGTAGGAACACTACTGTATGCATCAAGCAGTTTCTCGTCCACTTGACAGACACTCTCCCGTGCCCTTGCCTTTGCAATTTCAGCAAAGGGTCTGGACAGCTTCCCAGCCACTTCCCTGAGCAGCTCAGAGCTTGGGCCCTGTTCGCGCAGCTCGCTCTCTCGGCAAACCCCTCCATGAGCCGCTGGCTTCATCTTCGGTGCGCCCGAAGCATCTGACAAACAAAGGCAACTTTCGCTGTCCTGCCCACCAGGAGTATTATCTCACTGATGTCTTCACTCACCGGGCTCAATGCATGGTATCCTTCACGAAGTATTCAAGCTCCGGTACTGGTGAATGCACTGACAGCGGCACCTGCGCAACATGTCCATCGAGTAGGGGCAGATGCAGGATGGTTTCGGGAGACTTGCTGTGAAGGCTGGGTTGTCCGCTCAGCAATACAACTCGTGCAGAAATCTGTTCTTTGTGGCTTATGACAAGACAGTACACGTACATGTCGGCTGCGCACGACCCTGCCCTCTAAATCTCGCAGTTGGTGGGAAGAGCGCACACAAACGCCATCTGCTGCCCAGATGGAGAGCTCAGTCACGACGTACCTCCATGATGAACACTGAAGTTGCCAGTTTTGAAGGAGCAAGCTTCTGAGGTTCGTGCGCAGCAGACGGGTGAACAAAAAACGCCACATGCCTGGCTTGAACTGACCATCACACCTTTGCTCATAAGAAGGCCCTTAGTGCCTGCCTCGGCAGTGCTTCCGACTTCTTGCTCAGGAGAGCTCTGATGCTGGCGGAGATTGCCTGCACATTACCTCGCCAGACGCAAACTGCTCGGACAGGCTCACGCATCATTTCGTCGACATTGAGGACATGTAGTGCATGGCTGAACAAGTCAGCTAGCTCCCAGCAGGCAGCAAGTAACAAAATAGAATACTCACAGCAGCCAGTGTCTGGGACCTGAGGCTGGGCCGGGCCTAGTGAACTAAGACCCCTGCTTCTCAGCTCTGAGTAAGAGAGCTCCACGGTTTCTGCCTGAAATCAACGTCGGAGCGAGCAAAGGTACACCCTTCACACTTCATACATGAAGCTGCATGCGCATCACGACGAAATGCCAAACAATGTCACTAAATGACAATGCCTTGCCTTGCCATGCTCCAGCACAGCCAAGGACTGCCCAGCTTGAGCATGGTCCTTCAGAGCACCTCAACTGCAGCTCGGGAACTGCATGTAGTCTTGCGTCGCAATTCGCCAGAGTCTGACCAAAAACGCAGCACCAAGTAAGCTCGTGACGAAGTATGGGAACCTGTCCAGGCATGTGTCTTTGCATGGATGTTCATTGCTCTGAAAGATCCGCCCTGAATACAAAAAGTTGGGGCTGGCCTCCGACGACTCCATCTCAGCTCCGGAGGGGTCTAACTAATGCTTTGAGTCCGACATGACAGGCAAAAGAGGATATCCGTGCACTTCGCCGTTCCTAAGAATCGGAAATTGCCATCGTAGCTCGCGTCTTTCGCGTCTTGTCGGAGGAGTCGAGATATTCGCGGGCATGATGCTTGGCATCCTCAGACACAGCTTTGACAAGCCGCTGGCTTCGGTCACCGATGCAATTTCGATCTGTAATGAGGCCAGTAAATTCCGCTTCCGGGCTCTTGTCTTCTTGGAGCTCTTGGTAATCTTGTCTTCCTTTAGCCGCAGCTCTTTGCTTTGGAGTGGCCAAAGCCAAAACTGTTTGAGGATCTCGCAGTACAGATTACAATCGGAAAGCATCTATTTTCCAGACGGCCGGGATCACCTCAAAGCCGGCTGACGGTCTCCTGGCGCCTCCCGGCTTGGATTCCGTCGCTTGGTCGCTCTTCACGCATTTCACGTTGCCCGGGCTCAGACCAGACCTTGCAGGAGATGGAAATAATTCATGCCCTGCTACAGTACACTGCAGCTGCGACAGCACTTATGATGCAAAAGTTCAACAGCGGTTTTTGCCTGTGATATCTGCGCTGCACGGCATAAACTAAAGGTTGCGGTGAGCCGCAGGAGGGTAGCAGGCATCGCTTGGCCAGGCTTCCAGCAGATGCGTTGAGCTTGTGGCACTGACATACCGCGAAAGCTTGCCTGCCCAGTTTTGCGTTGCCTGCAAGCACACAGCGCGCGTGCTTGAAAGGAACTTTGTCCTTCCTCAAGGCGGGGACCGAGTCTGCAATTTCAAAGCACAGACGGGTCTGTGAACCCGAACCCTAGCGCAGCATCTTCATGAATTCGGCATAGTTGATTTCACCATCATGATCCAGGTCGCAGCCGTCCAGTGCCTGCCACCATGCTCACATGCAAACACTACGATGAAAGGCTGCACAAAATGTGCGGCTTGTCACCTCTGCAATCTCCTCTTTGGTCACCCCATGGCCCTGGACAGCTTTGAGCAGCTCCTCCTGTCGCGGCTGAGAATGAGCTGCTAATGCTGCAGCTATCCTTAATATAGTGTGGTCAGCAGGGCATTTCCGAATCTTGCAAAGGCCTTTCGCAAAGTCAATCAGACCCAACACCTGCAGGCTCCCTAAACAGTGTGGTAACACCTCAGGGTTCGTTCGGTCCGGGTAAAGGGATTGGATTGCTGTCCTCCCCCACTGCGTGCGGCATGCGTTCCGGGACTCCCGCCCTGACGCTTTTCCCAAAAAAAGGCAATATCGTTCCACAGTGCTGTGCAAGGCTCGTGGGACCCGGGCGCCGAATTCGTTGCAAACCCCAGTACTTTTGATGAATCGCACTCCCGCCAGAGTTCCCTGCACATTTTGCGTTGATTTGTAAGTGGAAACCTTCATAGAGTCCTGGCAGGGCCGCTATGGACAGTAATTTGGCCCCCCTCCGTGAGGCATTGAAACCCCGCCGTTTCAAAATGGTTTGGGAATGTCGCAGATCGACGTCGTGCTCCGCCACAGCGCCCGGTATACTTTAGGGTGCGCTTGTCTTCTCGCCACTGTTCCGTGGACCAAGATCGTGCTCCCGCCACAGAGCAGCGCGTCTTCAATCCGGCAAATAGCATCGACGACTGTCGTCAACACCCGAACGTCAGGCAGCAAGTGCTGGCTGGATACTTAAAGCCTGCAAAGCCCGCTGTCCTTGGTGATATGGCCATCTCCATTCCTAGTTTGCATGCTGGCTGCCGGAGGTGAGAGAGCGCGAGAGAGAGAGAGAGAGAGAACAACGAACAAAACTCTGAAGACTCTTGTCGGGAAGGCTTTGTGACTGCCTCTTGCGGACGAGCTTCTTGTCCACATTCCCGAATGCGTCCAAGAGCTTTGCCCATTTCGGGCTTGCCTTAACTGAGCACTGAGGGGCGGTTCAAGCACCTAGCAGCCACGCTTGCACTTGTGTCGGCACTGGCCATGGGCCAATGGGTCTGACACATCTTTCCGTTGGCCTTCTGCCGGCTGCAACCTCATCAGGTATGGTGGGATTTTCGGGGAAGCAGAGGAACTGGTGGTGTGCCGTGCCATGTCGGGTGCTGCTCAGCGGCAATGCATCCTTGAGGTGCTGCTTGGCCTGCTGCTTGGCCTGCTGCTTGGTCTGCTGCTTGGTCTGCTGCTTGGCCTCGCGCTTCCATGCCGAAAGGTTTGAGGCCACATTATGCCTCCTTGCATTGTATCTGCCACGGCAGAAGATTCGTGGGCAGTTTGGCGCAGAGTCCGAAATCCTTCATTCTGCGTTCAAGCTGCTGTCTCCAATCCTGTTGTGGCGGACTTCGGGGCTGCGGCAGGCGAGTTGCCCATCCTGGACAGGTCAGATCCAGTGCGTCATGGCAACGCACAGTAGGCAAATTACAACCACCAGTCAAGCAGAGCGGCAGGAAATCTCTCAACTCAGTGTTAGCGCCCATGCGCGCGATACCAGCAGACCGTCGATGCAAGCCTTTGGACCAGACCTGATCTGAACCGGCACGGTGGGCTCTAAAACAGCGCCAGTCAGTCGGCATTTCGTCAAATTTCACCCATGTTGCAGCGGTTAAGTCAAGAAACTGCGTGGGTCAGTGAAGCCAGAAAAGACACGGCAGGTGTGTGCCACCATCGCAACGCCTGCGAAGTGATCGCGTCCAACCCAACCCACATGCACTACGTAGCACTACGTAGCGCCGTTTAAGTCACTTGCTCTTGCCATGGATGGTTCGAACTCACAGACTGCTCTATGAAGCACAGAATGCCTACATATCCTACATCAGAAAGTGTATCTTCTGCAACGCAGAGAGATTCGTCTGTCATCTGCTAGCAGCTACGAGGCCGTTCAGCTGCTCACCGGACACCTGGTGTTCCACTCTGGCCGCTGCCACGGGAGTCTGAGGTAGACGATGAAATGTCGGTGCAGACGGTGCTGTCAACATACCTTCACTCAGATCGGAACGGTGTGATCCCATACTAAGCCGGGCTTTAAGGTCGACCATGGTTCGCTTAGGTTCACCTGTACAGCTGGCAGCCTTTATAGGAGAAACATCACTTATGAAGAGCAAAGCGATCGCCGTTTCACCGGACACATTACGTTAAGCCCTGTGTGTTGGCCACCCGCCTGCATTCATGAGTTGGCTGCACTCCAACCGCGCCAGTGCAGATTTCGATGCAGCTCTACAGTGGCGCTACCGGCATCTCCTCTCTGAGCCGTAATGGCGAAGTCGCTGTCGCTCCTGAACATGACACATTTTCTCGTGGTGTTCAGCTCAGTAGCAAACGACGGCGGCATCACCAACACACAGCAGCACCACTACCGCCGCCCGCCGCCACCACCAGCAGCAGCGCCACCGTGTCCGCCACCGCAGCTGCTAGCATCAGCAGTAACCCACAGTCACAACGCCGCCAATACAACTAGAGCAGCAGCAGCAGCAGTAGCAGGAGTGCTGCTGGCGACAAATGCTGCACACTTGACAGATCCATATAAACTCATTTTGTTGAGCCATCTACAGCCGCTCGGACGAAGAAAACCTCCAAACCCGTGACACCCAGTAGTCCCGCCTGCGAATTACAAATTACAATGACATGAGTGTTTAAGTCGCTTGACCAAGGCAAGTCCTGATTCATCACGTGTGAATGTGCATGAAGAGCTCTGCCGGCACAGAGTTATAAACAAGGCTTGGCAGATCGGCTGAGCTGCGAACTGGGTATGCAGAGAGTTGACGTCTGCATCGCAGAATTCTCGCGGTCGGCATAAGCGCTGCCTACCCTTGAAGCTTCTCAGATGCCTACGAACCATGCATGAGTGTATGTAGAGGTAAGTAAAGTTCGAGGGGTAGCATGGCTGCGGTTTGAGTTGGACCTAGGAAGAACCTTCCGAGACTGACACTGTTCGGACTTCCACGCACCGCCGATTTTCCAAGCATGCAATGGCCGATTTCGTTAGCTCAAAGGACAGAATTCGGCGACTCGGGCAGAGTCCCTTTCAAACGTTCCAGTTCTTCGCGCCTCAAGGCAAGGAGGCAAGGGCAACACGCGGGCTTGGGCCTTTGGGCTGCATCCCAAAAGGGGCCCGCAAAAGCAGCTCAGTTGCAGGCAAGGCCGCCTCTCGATGCTCTCCTGCACTTCGCACCACTGCAATTCAGGTACAGAGCCGCTCTTCAAAGCGTTCCCAGAGTTGATTTCAAGCTGGCAACTACCGAAGCTACTGTATTCGCTATGAAACTAGGCACCGACCTTGACATTTGACCTGGGCTGCAGTACCAAATTGCGGGTTCACATTGACATGCAGTGACAGAACTCTCCGCAAACAACTGTGACCGCGCTTGCAAGGTCTTGCAGCCACACTGAGACAGTTGGATCAGGTCTTGGAGTCCTTCTGCAAGGTGCTGAGCGAAGGCCCTTTTCAGCTCATCAAGCTCCTGCACACTGAGACAGTGACTGCGACATACACCACGCCTAAACGTGGACTCCGACGGTTCAGCTCGCAGCAATTTGGAGGATTCACGAGATGGAGTTATGCTTGAGGGTCCTCCCGGTAAGGAGCGCCCTTCAGCCCTCGGAGCCCAACCTGGCTAGAGCGATGTCACAATAGAAGTCCTTGTTTATCGACAGCTTTGCAACGACAAGGGCAAGGCCGCCTCTGCTTCTTGCAAGGCTGTTGCGACTGCCAGGAGCCTTTCGCCGAGGGGGCACGCAGCCAGCGGCGTAGCTGCCTGGTGGAACTTAAGCGTGCAGCTAGCGGGTCTTCGCTTCGCCGTACCATGGCTGCCAAGACTTCTGATCCAACAAGCAGAGTCAACACCAACTGCGAGTCAAGTTTTGCCTAAGCTCAATCGCCGCTTTGCTGGCATACGTGTGCGCTGCGATTTTGCGATCGCCGTGTCATTACATGTAGCTGTAGCCGATTCGAATACATATCAAAAGAGCGCAGCCTGTTTAAGGGCTCAGTAGCAACAACTGGTGTTGGTGCCGGTTGAAACGATCTTGTTGATCTTCTTCTTGGTTCCCGGTGGTCGTGGTGGTGGCGTGATCGCAGTGGTGGTGGCGGGGCGGGTGCATGGTGGCATGCAGCGGCAATGCGGGCTCGAGAAAAAGAAACTTGGGTCGTGCGTTTGGGAAACATTTGAGTATGACACGCGGGGGCGACAGCAGAAATCGGCGTCACCAGACGGCCATCGCGCATACCTGTGCTTACGGTAGATGCAGAGTCTGACGAATGACAACATGCTGATTTCTTACTTCAATCTTCGGCCGAAACAATGCTGCCTCAGTTCAATCAAGTAGCAGATGCAGTCAGACATCGAGTCATCACTCAAGTCGGAGCTGCCCGACGCGACATGGGCCAGAGTCTACACTGCTCTCCTGCTTTAGCACTCTCCCCGCAAAGTCGATGATAACGACACAATAAGAAGACCGCTGCGATTGTTTGTCAGCGCCTCTTCCACCTCTTGTGCCATCAGCCTCACTTGAGAGGCCCAGTGGGGGATGTCCACCTGAGCAGCGAAGCTCTGCAGGCGATGCGGGTCGCTGCGCTCTGCACCGGCCTCGGTCTTCTTGCGCAAGACCTGATTTTCCTCCACGAGCCTCTGAGAGGACAAAGGCTCCGCTGCTTAGAAGCTGCAACGTTGCAGCGCCTTGCGTGGCTTTCCCGTAGGCTCTCGAGCTCTTCACGCATGGAGGCGACCTGAGCATTTAGCGTAGTTGAGGTTAGCTCCGATTCCCTGATCCCTGATGGTTCAATTCGGCCTGGTCTGGATCCAGATGTAGGAGGTGAGACGACGTCTTGCCCTTCACTTTCACATCCTCTGGTTTCCAGGATTCCGTTGGATCATTTTCAGGCTCCGAGGGCACCTTGCCCTTGGCGATGAGGGGTATTCCCAGCTTTGGCCCTGTATGCAAGCACGCAGCAAGCACGGTTCCATGACTGCTGCATATCAATAGGAAGCTGCTCTGCCTGTGAACTCAGGGCATACGGTTTGCACCGCACCACCCAAGGCCTTGCAAAAACGGACAATTCAAGCCAGCCACGTCTTGTAGCTGAAGAACTTCAGCTACCAAAGAATGCTTCGGCACGTATGCACCAGGACCGGCGCATAGATGCATGTGATGACCTTATTCGAAGATGTCATTGTACTTGTGTGAGGTTTGCATGTGGCAAGTAGGTCGATGACCGAATCCAAATTCTTCTCTTCGTACCTCATGGCCAGCGAACTGCTTCCGGGCTCACGTTTGCAACTGCTCCAAAGGCCCGCCAAGACCTTGCATAGCTTGGCGGTAGCAATCTGCAAGCGTTGGATTCGAAGCGATGGTCAGCCAGCGGGCAACAGCACAATCATGCTTCAAGAAATGTGTCCCAAGCCAGTCGGTGTGGGTCTGAGGGTTCCTTATGCAGGGGTTGTGCGTTGCAAAGTGCATACTTTCGAAACATGGATCGGCTTAGCTAGAGTTCATGCCCGCTCTGTGGATACATGGTCTAGTGGTTCAACTTGTCGGGAGGACCAGCTGCCAAATAGACCCGGTGAAAGCCCCACACACACACACACACACCGACAGCCAAGCTCTGACATTTCTGGGATTACGCCTCCGCTCTAGCGTCGCTTGCCAACGCCTGAGGACTCCGCAAGTCTGGAGTGTCGAACATGGAGCTCTCTGGAAGTCCCAGCTCTCTGGCCTTACTACCAGAAGCGCCGCCACGACCAAAGACATGTCACACACACACACACACACACTGTCCAGCTCAGGGGCTGCGTTTAGGAACTTCGTGATGTTCTCCTCAGCATGGCATAAGATCGATCATCATCGACTCAAGCGCCAGACACAATGCACCCAAGGTACCATCTGCTTGAATGGCACAGACTGCTGGTTCACAGTCCTGTTACGCACGTCTTCTGACTGGGGATCAGCACCTTCAACATCACGTCTGCGCTGGGATGTCCTGATGAGTCCAGGTTGAATGGCATTGACCAGGCTGCAAAGGACCACTCCTCGCCAGAACTCGCAGTTTAGTCATCGAGGGCAGTTGAACGACTGAAGCGCCTGATTTCAGCCATTCGGCAACGCTCGCTTCGCCTTTTTGACCTGGCACCCGCACACAGACTGACTGAATGAGCGGCCGTTCAGTGGGCTGCTCCTAGCAGTTCTATAGGGACCGTGCCACCGACTATAGACTCGATCCACTGGACAACGTCCTGCCTCAGACTCAGTTATCTGACAACGCTGGCACAAGCAGAGCAATCATCCGGGACCCAAGTCTGAGTCAATGCTGCAAGAGCCGTGACCCAGTTCTTCTGGGATCCTCGCTCGTTGTTGGCACTTCGCTTGGACTTCTGATCCCACTCGATTGCAGCCGCGAGGTCTTCATCATCTTCCACTTCCATGCCAACTCAGTCTGTGGATACCCCCATGTACAAAGCTGCTTACCGTAAGCGGGATGTGAACCTACCGCTTCCCAGTAGTTATCTAACCGACCGTCTGGTTGCGTCGCTACAGCCGTCGCTGCTTGAAGATTCGTGTCTGTGCTGGTTCCACAGATTTCTTTGAGCAGCTCAGACACATCTAGCACCAGTCAAACTACCCGAGCAGCTATCGCTGCACTCCTGTCACCTATGAGAACTTGGCGGTGGCCTGGTCTAGGGTCAGCTGCAGGCGGTGCCGGGCATGCTGTCTTTTGGTACACAGAGCCCCGCTGAACTTCAGGAACAGAACTTGCTACGCATAAGCTGTGGCTTCCTCACAGAGACGCTTCTTCTCACCGCGGTTCGCCGCCAGCGCGAAGATGGCACCTCGCCTCTGCAAGCCCCTTCCCGAAGAAACATGTCGAAGATGCTGCAACGCATCGGGCTACTAGCTCGTGGGAGTCTGTCCAAGTCAAACTCATGAGTACTGCAGATCCGTCAGGAAGTTGGTGTACGGCACATGTATTGTAGCAAAGCCGGGGGACTCTGTAGAAGGACGGCGATAAACACGATTATCAAGAGACTTGTAAGCCGGTTCAAAACTAGCTGGCCTCGTGAAGGCGCGGCAAAGCCTCTAAGCTACTTGAGAAAAACGGCTTTCTGACCCGGACCTACTTCAAACGCAAAATATTACAGTCTCCTTGCAGGCACGGCAGCCGACACGATCCGCGATGACATGTTGATGTTCTGGCAACCATTCCTCTCTTCCTTTCAAGCGCCTGTCAGTTCGGCCATTACCCCTCGGCCTGCAAACGTGTCATGCACAATCCAATCGCCCAGTGCCTCTCTGAACCCAGCGGATTGCGGGTTCTAGGATCATCTGGCTGCAGCGCAAATCAGCCGGCATGGTGAATTCTGATACATTATGGCCAGGCATGTAGACACACAGATGGACCGTGTGAATCATCCTGCGCGGGGTCTAGAAACTAGCTATGTGCTGCAGTGCTTCAAGCACGAACGATATCCCTCAGCCATGGTTTCAGGTGAGGGCAGACCTGGAACACCTGCCGAGCGCATGTCAGCTTCTACTAGTCATCCGACAAAGGCCGCCCATGCTCTTTGTCGATGGCATGTGCGTAAGGCGCTTGCCGGGGAAGATCTTGGCGAAGGAAAGGCTCTTGCTCATCCAGCGCTCCGCATACCTTCCGATCCGGTGTGCACAGTTTCCCCAGTAGACACTTGACAGAGACCTGCCTGTACTGCTGCAGGCGATAGAAGTACCTACCGGTATTCCTCAGCTGAAACTCCAATGTAATCACGTGTGACGATCACAGGCGGCCACGCATCAGGCTAAGATCTTCGCCATGACTTCGCGATCAGCCAGGCGGCTTCGTCCTCCCAGCAGAAGTCATAAGCTGGACCAGGAAGTTTGGCTCCAGGTCATCGCTCCTCCAAGTTGGCGGAGGCCTTTGAAGCAGCAAAGATATTTCAAAGAAAACTGCCAACCTTTCGGCTGCACCCAGGGCAAGCACCAGCTCTTCTGCTTGGCTGGCTTGGCTCAAGATCTTGCAGAGACCTCTCCCAGAACTGCAAGACTTCAGCACCGCATCTCATGGCTCTAGGCCAAAGGCGCCTTCGAAAAGGCGGAAGCCTTCATTCCTGGAGGACAGCAAGGCCACCATGTTGCCTCGAAGGCAAGAGACACACAAGAAGCGAAGCTCTGCGCGATTTGAAAAGTCTCTGTCGGCCCCACGATAGGCAGCGACGATCTGCTTGTAGTCCACAGCCTCACACGTCAGTCGAGATGCAGATTCTCTTGCCCTGGCTATGGCCGCCATTCTCGAGGGTTCCATGAGTGCGCGGCAGCCCGTGCGGCAGTCAGGACTTGAAGATAGCTTTGCAAGCAATGAATGGCCAACCTCCACAGGGGCTTCCAGTAGACTGGACAGAGTTCGCCGCAGCTCGCAATTCGCCCCACCGCCGGTATGAAGATGCCGCAAGAATTTTGGACATCCTTGGCCGCCGAGATCAGCGTGGCATCTGCGAAGGAATAAGATTGAACACATTCTTGAAGAAGTCTGACTTACGGTCACTACTCTGGCAAATAACGCGAGAGCGGCAAGCCGGCCGAGGTGGAGACGCCAAGAGGCTATGGAGGCCAACTGCTTCATGAGAAGATGCCTCCGGAGGTAGGGACTTCATCAAGACCGGAAGGCAAGCTTCTGCGCCTGCTCAACGAACTGTTGCAAGCTTGCCTCCGTTTCCTTGGCTCATGCGCAGATACTTGCAGGAACCTCGTCAAATCGTTCTAGGTCTAAGTAGCTCGTGATGCAGCAACGTGCAGCTGAATGACACCGGTCAGACACTTCACCTCAAACTCCACAAGAACGAGGATCATGAAGAGCCGATGAGACCAGGGAGAACTCCGGAGCTCGGTCTGCATGTGGTATCCAGGCAATCTCCCCATGTCCCCGTATGGCCCCACCTTGGCCAAGCTCTCTGCTGAAACCTTCTCCGACTGGCGACGAAGCCTCTGACCAATGCGGATCTGCGTATTGACAGCGGCTACACGAACGCATCCTGCAGTTTGCCTGTGAGCCGTATCGAGATTGCCGCGAGCTTGCTGCAGGTGCATGCTTCGGTCTTGAGCATTCGTCTTAAGATCCTTCGCCTGTGCAGCGGAGCGAAGCGGCTCAATTCACTCTCACAGTCCAGGCTACGACCGAGGCCCATACCTGCTGGACTCTGGCAGATGCCTCCAATACCAGACACCAGGCCCTCGCACTCCAGAGCTCCTGAAGCCTGCAGCCGAGCTTTGCAGATTGATTACAGCCGCAAGCAACAACCTTCGCGCATCTCCCGCACCTTGCCACGTCGAGGTCTGGTCCATGCGGTGTCAGGGTGTCCAGTGGCTGCAGGATGCGGTGGATGCGCTCGAACCTGGGGCTAAAACTCTGGGCCAAAGGCGGTGTGGATGCTTGCAAGGACGAGCATCGCACATGGAAGCTGCCAGTTCCCACTGGCAACTGTCCCCAAGTTCCTGTCCTCTGCCTTGGCATTGACAGCGATTGAAGGTGGCCGACAGACGTGGATCCTCCAACACCTTTGAAGCCTTCATCCACTCTCGTTATGATCGTGCACGGGGCCGCAAATGCTGAACGCTGAAATTGACAGTCAGACTCAATCAGGCACTGATTTGCCGGGTCCTGGACAAGCGACCATGCGGGGATGAGCCCTTCCTGCTGCTGTATGCATCCAGGCTGCTCCATGCCAAAGACACGGCTTCTCGAAGCGCCGCAAGCCCGGGAGTAGCAGGCGCAGAGTTACGAAGTTCAGCTTGAAGCGACACCCTGGCCGACACCGCCGCTACGGCGTCCAAACGCTGCAGCAGCTCCTCCATAGCACAAGGCTTCGCAAATCCACCGCTGATCCAGACACATGATACATTTCTGACAACGCTTTCGCGGCTGTCCGTATCCGATCGCTTCAACTCCAAAGCTCGGATCAAGAGCTGCACTGAGATAATCAGGCCGTTCGGATCTTCCTGGGACTCCTGGAGTCGGCTAAGCATCAAAGGCCCTTCTTTGGGGAAGCAGCAGAGCTCAGGCTCAGGGCTCCTCCCTCACAGCACAAGCGACGAAGAACTCCAGGCCGGCCGTTGCCAAGTCCTCCCAAAGACACGTGGCTACAGTAGCCGACTCGCTTGCAAGCGGATTGACCGACATCTGCAGGCGCCTCTGAAGGTTGCTCCAAGACGAGTTTCGCCGCTCTTGCTGCCTCCTCCAGCCTTGTGCCGGCGCAGCCATTTCTCTAAGTACATCATGGGTCTGGGTGCGCGGCGACAGGCCCGGGGAGTGCTTTCGCATCAGGTCCAGCTGGAGCCAGGCCTCACTGCAAAGAAGCGGCGGCACGCAAAGAAAGCGCCTCGCGCTGGTCTCTTTTGGCCTCCTCGGGGCGCTCTTTATGACTTTCGCCCTCGGCCTGCACGGAGCTCGGCTGGAGAATCTGTGAGGATTTCAGGCATCTTCAGGCCTTCAGCTTCTCGCAGCAGACTTCCAACAGCAGGAGCCGGGCACCGACTTCGACCCTCGCATCTGCCAAGGCCTGGCTGAAGGCCGGCGTATCCCTCGGCTAATACCTCTGCCACCCGCGGCCTTCTGTGCAAAAGCTGTTGCTTCCCTGTTCAGGCCAGCAGCGTGACAGCAACGCCCTGGGTGAAAGGAGCAATGAACTGTCTTGGAGCATGCATACAATCCTCCAGTGCCCACAGGTATTACCGGTGCCTACACCCAGCCAGCACTTCGCCACTTCTTCAGGCGCCTCATGATGGCGGAACAACTGAGATCACAGAGACCCCGCTGTTGCGGCAAGGCCAAAGGCCTCGGGATGCGATGAAAGGAACATTGCCTCGGTCAGAAATGAAGCTGCACGAAGACACCACACGCACCATAGGTTGGGTTTCCTGCTGCCTTCAGGATCGCCTTTGCCTGGGAGAGAAAGCTAGGTCTAAGTCGCGCTAGCTACTTGTAATGTGACGATCGTCTAAACGGCCGGAGCGGCCGCATCAAGGTGACCGTTCATCCAAAGAGTGGCCTAGGACACGCGGAAATGACGGTGAGGACAGACGGAAGGGGCGTTTCCAGCAAGCTCCAAGTTTCCGACCATCAAGCCCCAAAGCTTCCTGACAGTCTGCAGCGTGCAGCCAAGTCAATGCAATTGCCATCACACTGCGAAATGCCAGGCAGACCTGGTTTCCACGTCGAGGGTGGTCGAGGTTGGGTCGAGGGGCCTTGTGACAAGAAGAACTCTCCTGCATGCCTTTGTTGAAACCAAGACTCGGATCGTCACTGACATCCGAGCTCTCCCTTTTTTGGTGATCACGCTTCTGCGAAGCAGCCACTCTTTGATGGCACAAGCTAGTGGTCGGTTCTCGGCATCTGGTCACTGCTTAAACCGGAAAAGCCACAGGCACCTCGTGCTTCTGCGTGATGCCCACCTCGCAAAGAAACATGTTCGGGGCTACATTTTACCAAAACCATTCCAATCGTACGTTATAATGTGGTGCAACTCACGTGCCTCAATCTTGCCTCACGCTACAAACGTTCAAGCTGTGGCATGCGGCTTGCTGCACACGGCTGCAAAAGCGTTTTCTGTATCCACCACGTTCTCATGTTTTCTTGAGCATGCACACGAAACTGGCAAAGTGTGGGTTCTGGTCGTCGCACTCACCACAAGCTCTCCTGCGGCTGGTGCAACTTGGCCGTTACACTTGTCTTGCTTCCGTCGTGCGCTTCACCCACCTGTTTTGCGTGCCAGTGTCTTATGCTTTGTGCGGCTTCTGAAAGAGGTCATGACCCGCAAGATCGCTTACAGAGGTACTTGCGAAGCATCAGGCGGGAGCACAGAACCAGAGATCCCAGCACAGCCAGAGATGCCAAGGAGCTGGTTTTTTGTGCGACCAGCATGCCACATCGATCATGCTCTAAGCGAAGGAGTTTGCAGGAGAAGTTTGGCTTCTCCTCAGTCTCCCTGAACAAGCTAGGCCAGCCAGACCCTCTTAACGGACAAGGTTCTTCGAGCCGGGTTTCTCAAGCCAGCGCAGTCTTTATGGCACGCCCGCAGTGGATTCTTTGCACTGGATGTGCTCGTGCGAGAGTCTCGGATGCCGAACACACTGGACAGCAAGTATAAGTCAGCGTAAGCGGCGTAAGCGCAAGAATAAGAAGTTAAGGAAACACCTGCCGCCACATGCTTCATGATCTCAAAGCTGAAGCAAAGGCACATCTTGGGAAGAGAACTGTCCTGCCGGCACAAATGATATAATGAGCATAGTGAACCGCCATGAACCGACGCAAGTCAGCTGCTTGCCTGCGCAAAGGCCTTTCGAAGTGCAGACGGCAGTGAATTGCCACGCCGATCCTTGAGTGGAATCCTGGGCGGCATTCTGTCTCGCTCTGCTTGGGGGTCGGCTCGAGAAATTATAGCTTTGGGGCCGCGCTTTCTGTGCAAGTGTGCCCCTCGGGCCTTCCAGTTACACCCAAGAGGACATGGGCTCCCCCTTTCATAGGAAACGAGCCTATGCACTTACAGCATTCCCTCTCTGTCTCCCTGCCGCACCACTGGACGTAGTTCTGTTAGATGCAACACAAGCATTCAGCAAGACCTTGCTCTTGGGCTGAGCATCAGATTCCAGATGGTGTATGTGTTGCCAGTGTAGTTCATGTCCATCAGTGGACAATCGCCATAGCCTGAGCCGTTCGCTGCGGGCAACATGCTTACACTTGCTTTTCACGCTGGCCCTGTTGCTTTTAATCACAAACCAAGGCACCGAACATGCCAAACTCCATCTCAGGACCTCCTTTCCAGTAGCTCCGGCTGAACTCAAAGAAAGAATAGCCCATGAAGTACGGATATCTCGGAGACTTCGCCAACCTGAGCTTCCGCCAGAAGCTGGACTGCGGAGCTTCGGACGATGTCTCAACTCATCCGAGCTTCTGCACGGCTTCTGTGAGGTCCTCCTCCATGTTGCCGTGCACGCTGTGATACTCACCTATGAAGACCTTCAGCTCAGGGCTCTTGCGTGCAACGGCATGTCTCAAGAGCCAAGTATGTAGGCCGGGCCACAGGAACCTTCAACGTCGGAGTCCAGAAACTGCTTTGAGCATACTTGTTCAACATCATGTCCGCCACCTTATGCCGGAGGAATCCTGTCCTTGTTTCTGAAAGCTAAAGACGTTCGAAGGTATCGGCCTCTCTGGCTTTGTTGGCCGTGTTGAAGCTGTGAACAAATCGCGTGCGAAAAGCCTCAGATGTGCTCGCGTGATCTCGCGTGCACAGATCCACAGCCACTCCGATTCGCCGGCCTTCACCAGATCATTCCTGGGCGTGTAGTTGATGGGCTCCTTCTCGGTACCCTTCTGCAGACAGGCCCAGAACCTCGGTCGAGGCCAGTGGTGCCGCGCGCAAGATGTGCATGTCCCAGCACGTGACCAAGGTGCTCCTCCATTTGCCCCAAAGCAGGAGCATTGGGGTGAACCTCGAAGGATGCACTCCCTTGAACGATGTGACGTGTCGTTCGGTTCATCTTTTCCTGCTGCTGAAACCAAAGAGAAGTGCGCGGCAGTGAAAACTTCGCTTGATGTAGGATCCCAGCGTTCGCGTCTGGGAAGAGAGCAAACGACCATGTGATGGTCAATGCGATGGGGTTGCCAGTTACACCCACGTCCTTCTCCTTAGCGCGTTAGGAGGCGCTATATCTCGAGCAATGGCTCAACACAAGCAGCTTCGAATGGATGTTCCTGTTCAGTTACATAGACATGGAGTTGGATGGGGGACTCCTGACTCCTCAAGTGTAGCTGAGCTGCAGCTTCCAAGATTGCGTCGAACACAGATGCCATCGCTCTGCAGGTCAGACTTCGTGGATGCACCTGCACGGCTGTAACAGGGCCGGGACCTGTGCCCATCGATCATGTCTTCGTCCTGGCCTTCAAGTCTGGTTCGTTCGCCAAGATCAAGGCTTTCAGAGCAGGATGGTAGCCTCACAGTCGCTCCATTAGAACTTCAGCAAGAGCATGTCACAGTTTTCCCCGATGCTTCTATGTTCCGAGTCGCGCTTGAACGAGTCGATGGCGAAACCTGCAGCGTCAGTGCCCCTATAGCTTTGTGGATTGGCAAAGAACGCATCAACTGCCCTGAGAACGACTGAGCGTGCATCCCATCAAGAGGTTCTTGTGAAAGTAGAAATATGCCTCATCGAAGCAGTACCTTTCAGGTGCAGCGATTCTTCCAGCATGGAGCAAGGCGTGCACCGAGGCGGCTAAGGACAGCTCCAGTCGTTGATCAAGCAGTTGTCCGGGCCCTGTGTGAAGCCAAAGTCGCTCATTCCTGCGCGCGAGAACCCTTCCGAACTTCTTGCTTTGCCACACTTCCACATGGCCGGTTGAAGCCGGTCTCCGGTCGCAGAGCAGCGAGGAGATTTTACAAAAAACCGATTGAGAACCCTATAGCATCGGAAACCATCAGTCTGGTCAGCCTTCAGACTTTACGAACTTGACGATACTGAGAACAATCTAAAGGCTGCAGGTGCCTGCAACGACATCAATCCCCTTCTCATATGCCAGGTCCAGGAAGGCCCTGTGGCTCGTGTTTGCATCGTTGCCTAGGGGAGCAGCTTCTGATGCGTGGAAGGAGTGCCACAGCAGAAAGTTTAGAATTGCCAGGCGGCCATACATTCGGATGGTGTTTCCTCCCAACTGCTTGATCAGTTCCAGGTCGCCGCGGCCCCAATCGGCCCACATCGCTCCGGTGATGTCTGCCATGTAATCGTCACCGTTGATGGGGGACCCCGCCTTCTTCACGGGCGCTGGCCCATACGACACACCTCGGGTTCCATTACAGCTACCTGCCAGCCGCTTCCCGTCCCAGCTTCGCCAGAACCAGGGATTACCAGAAGAAACGCCAGACCTTCAACAAGTTTGCTATGGTCCGAGACATTTCTGTGTGGGGCCAAGCAGCCCTTCATCGTTTGATACGCAGGATCGAGCACTTTGGGCGTCTCGAAGTGCTCGTAGTTCACAGGACATGGTTTGGGACAGGTGACCCTGTCCACCTCGTGTACAAACTGCCTCGGAGACTCCAATCGCCGCACGAAGCAGTTCTTCGGTTGATGATTTAAATCCTGCATTACCCATAACAAGGAGTATACCATAATTCCCATAGTTTAGGGTCCTTACGGGTATGCAGGATTTATATCATCCGTTCCATTCCGATGCCGCGATGACTTCAGAGCCAGAGACTTCTGATCATCGCAGCTAGGCGGCTGAAACTCCTGAAAGCTGGATGCTCCTGGAAGAAAACTGAGCAAGTGACAGTCATGGCTGGGGGTCTCGTGATTCTGACTCACCCGTCCTGCATGAAGACCAGCATACTGCTTGGGATTGGCGTAGATGTTGTCATGCATCCTGAATCGCACGGGGCAACACGTGGGGAAACTCCCGACAACACTGCCAGTCAGGAAAATGACAATGACAAGCCATCCCACAGACTGAGAAATCTTGACTATGCAATCTGGCAAAGGCATGGGGCCATGTCCACAGTTTTGCCCTAGGCACGCCCAGTCCACGGCTTTCCAGCAAAGGTCATCCATCTTGGGCGTGCCACAAACATCGCCGCCAGGCAACTCGCCTTCCACCAAAGAAGCTCTGAGCAAACATGCGGCGCAACCGTTGAAAAGAGCCCATGGGCTCACATCATCGAGAATCTGCCGAGGAACTGAAGCCTTCTTTTGCCTTGCATACTCCGTTCTCGGCCGTGTATCCCGCAATGCACAGGCATTTGCCAGCCACGCACTGAGTCAATCCACGACTGGCCGCACAGCTGAAGAAATGGCATCTGCCACCGGTGTCATGACCCTCGACGTTATCGGGGACTGGCGTGCATTTGTCTGCTTCCTGCAGGTGAACTGTGCGAGAGAACACGCAACGTCACAGTCAAGCACAGTGACTCGTCCTTGTTGTAGTAATAGTTCTCCCGGCAGATGCATCTAAAGTGATGGCATTCTGTCGGGCCAAGAGAAACTTCGTCACAGTTGGTCCAGAAACAGGAACTGCCGGTCTCTCGGGCTCCTCGATCAAGTGATAAGATGTGATCTAGCTCTTCAATCCTGGCGGATCGCAGCAGACGGAGACGTGGCCTTTCCATGAGAGAATGCTAGCATCGCCGGATGCTTCTTCACCTTAACCGAGCGTTGTTCACAAAGCTCGCCGAAAGAGATGCTTCTATGCATGTGCAAGACAGCAAGAGGGACTGGAAGGGGGTGGGTATTGAGGATCGAGGTGGAAGTGGGTATGGACCACTCTGAGGTCTTTCCATACATAAAAGCAAAGCAGCAGCAAAGGAACCCCTAGTGCGAAGCGGGCGAGCGGCTTTGAAGTAGCTCGTCTTGGTACCTTAAGCCAGCGATGTGAGATGTCATACCACGCCATTTCACGAGCACTGGCAATACTCAAGAATTTGCCCGCCGGGCAGCTCCTTCCTCATACCTGCCCTCTGCAATGCGTTCCTTGGTTACGGCCACGAGCTGTTCTGCATGCAACTTTGACTAAAGCTGCCTGGAGCTGCTTGGCTTGTCTCTCCGCTGAAGGCCCGGCCCTTACTTACTTGCAGGCCAGGATCAGAGCACATGTTTCCGCTTCAGATCCATCAGAGCATTCGTCATCCTCCGAGATAGGGACCGCCGCCTCAGACGGCCTGGGCATTCTGGTATCGAATACTTGTGAAGTACCTGCAAATTGCCGGATTGCTCGTCAAGCGGCGTGAGAGCGTCAGCTCTCTCTACGCCGCCAACGCGGCAGAGCTGGGCGGCCCCCAGGAGCACGGCGAGCCTTATGACCATCATCGCAGTCTCCTGGCGGGGAACATCAGCCACACTGTGAGATGCTTTAACTTTAACTCGCTATGGACGAAGTTCACGGACTGCTCCTGATGCCGGTGTGGCGTGTAGCGGAGCCGCCGAGCGTGTGACACAAACTCTCTTCGTCTTAGTCTGACCCTAGTCTTTTTTCTTCACGTACCTGCGCATGAACATTTCTGGACATCGTTGGACCTTGACTTCTACCCAAATCACTGCTAAGTGGGCTGCGGATGCGGGCAAACGCGAAGGTCAGGACAGCTTCGTCCAGTGATGCAAACACAAGGGGTCTGTAGTCGAGCTGGTCGACAGAGTTTGCACTTCGAGCCCCGAGCTCATCCAGAAGCTTCGTAGCAGCGTCACATACCTGTACGAACTGTCAACTGCCGCCAAAATCTCAAGCAGAAGCAGCCACATGCCTGCCTCATCGTTCGATGCATCTGACTGCACTGCACCTCACAGGGCTCTCTGGGAGAGTTCTGCCGCCATCTTGGGCCGTTGAAAGCCGCGACACAGCTCCTTGTCTTTTGCAGGATTCCCTCACTTGGCAGCTGGGCAAAGCTTTGGCCCTCTGAAATGCACGGCGTGACTTTGCACGGACCACGTGTGGGTTCACTGCAGGCCGGATCGGCCAAGTTCTACATGGGCGGTGTAAGGCCGGGCCGCGCTTTTTGGAGACAAGTGCGGCCGGCATTCATTCCAAGCAAGGAAATCTTGGCTCTGGAGTGCTTGTTGGCTCACGCAGAAGTGACTGCAGATGCCGTGGGAGAGCCGCTCAGGGAGCTCGCTCTGTTGATGTCCTGTTGGCCTTTCCAGAAGCTGCAGAAACTCACCAGAGCACCAGAGCAGTCGTGCTGTGCGCAACTTTTGGCAAGCTTGCACACCGGCCTTCACGAAAGAATGGCCAGATGTCGGGAGCTCGCCGCTTGTGACAGAGAGTCCTGTTGCTACAGCTTGAGCAGACTGTCAGACTGAGTGGTAGCTCATGTGAGCCTATCAGAGACAGAGACTCAGAGCATGTTTCAGAGAGTCCGCCAGAAGATGCGACCGAAACATCGCACGGGCACCTGAAAGCCGGACATGCATTGGTTCTGAAAACACGCAACAAAGTCTCCCTCTTGCAAAGCAGCCATGATTTGGGGCCCAAGCAAACCATCGGGCTTTCGACAAGAATACGGCTGATATTGCCTAAGTCAAGCTGAAGTAGGACACTGAGCTGGCGCAACATCAATTAGCAGATGCAGGAAAGGCGCTGCAAGTAGGAGAATCTTGCTTCCAAGAACGAAGAATCTCAGGGCAGGGTGGCGCATGTGGCGCAGGCCAGGCCGTTTGAAGAATTGAAGGAACAGGCAGATGAAAGGCAGAAGAAGATGTGGCCGCTCAGACATGCTGTGTAACTTGATTCCAGGATTTTCTACCCGCAGGCCTGAGCAGCGTCCTGGCAAGAGCACGACCCGGCGACTCCTTGGTGAGCTCCAAGACGAAGGCGGCAATCCTAGGTCACGTCACAGAACCGATACTGAAAGGAAGAATCGCAAGACTTTGCCGAATCGAAAGGATTGATGGTCCAAAAACCCACCCAACGAAAAGAGACCGCACGGCCCTGAATAAGACAAGACTGCTGCTCTGCGTCCAAGGCACGACACAGACGAAAGCATACCCAAGGCCAGAAGCAGCGCCAACCTCAAAGACTACCAAAGCTGCCCAACAAACGGGTTTCTGAAACAACTTAATCCGTGCAACGAGCGTAAATGGCCAAGCTCCGGGCGAGACTCGCCATCGACGCCAGGAAAAAACGCTACTCCAGTAACGCAACCACGGGCCTCATTTACGTCACGCTCTGCCTGAAGCTCGTGATGCATCTGGTGGACCCCTGCACGCCAAGCCAAGTTGCACAAGCGTCTGTTACAATCATCCACAAGGATGCCTCGGTCGGCTTCCAATGCTACTTGCCGGATGTGGCTTGTGCTTGCTCAGGACTGCCCGCATTGTCCGTGTTGAACAATTGCTGAAAGACATGCTAATGCTGCGACAGCTGCAGATTGAGTTTATGTGGCTGGCCATGTAGTTCGGAATGTACCTCGTCGCAAGAGGACCCATCTTGCAAGATTAGCCGAAGTTGTTTTCCTACGACCCGAATCCGAAGGATGCGTGACATCCGGGAGGTCACTGCTTTGGTACCTCCGGTACCTGCGGCCGAAGTGACAACCTTGCTTTGGGAAGTCTCTCCTGGCAGCCGTCACAAGCCTTTACCGGAGCGCGAGTACTTCTACGGCTTGCACACGAAAGGGAGACACGTACGAGCGCATTTCAGAAGCACGGTGTCCTGTGCCGAAAAGCCTCGGCTTTTGAACTGCAAGGCTTAGGTCAGTCTTTGGATCGGTGTGCGGCATGGTGCATCCGAAGGACAGGTTCCTAACTGCTTGAGGTTAGCATTCCAGTGATGGTAGATGTAAAGGACAATACCCCGTGCTATCCTACTTCCTGCACTCGCAGCTTCGCAGTGGTAGCGAGAAGAACATGGCTGTGGAGACTTCAATTGGCGAGTTGCCTCTGGCCCGTGCGCCACCGAAATCAACAGCCTGGCAGAAGGACGTGGAGACTGACGACCATAACTTTTTGAACTTCAGCACGATCTTGACGGAAATCTGGCAGAAGCACCTCTGCGTCGGTGCCCAGAGGAACAAGCGTCTCGTAGCTTTGTGAGGGAGCGGCGCTCTGCTCGCTCTCCTGAAGCGAAGATGCCCCAAGAATCAGAGGCAAACGCCAACACATAGAATTTGTCAGTTGACGAAAGCACGAGCTGTGCAAAGCAATCTCTATACTACGGAGCCTGCTCGCGGCTGATCAAGTCCACGTGCTCCGGGTCATCATACTCCACCTGTCAACAAGTGTTGTCGCATAGATTATGTAGCCCTATCATGCCCTTCCAAAACCCAATAAGGGTAGCTGTGCACAATCGTGGCCAAGCCACAACGACAAAAGGATCCTCAATAGATTTCACGATCGCACGAGCGTGGTTGTCAACCAGCACCTCAGTTGCAGTGTCCTTGCGATCATACTGCGATCATTACCTGGACATGCTCAGGATATCATGATAAACTGTGCCATCTTGTATTATGCGCCAGCATGCCTCTGGATGCTTCCGCTGAGGCGCCAAGTCTCCAGGCAGAAGTCGAGTCCCAGGGAAGCCTTCGCGAAGCAGCGCTTGTTGTGCACCGGCCTCGGTACGTTCGGTTCAAGCCTTGGCTGCCTCAGTCCGACCGCGCCTTGTCTGCTGCGTCCTCGGGCTCCGAAACTGCCTCGGCAGCTGAAGGTCGAAAGTTCTTGAAAAAGCACTGTGCTGTGCTGTGCTGTGACGTCACTTGGGACTGAGGCGGGGACGATGCTGACCCAATGCGCGCCTTTCAGCACGGTCCTGCAAAAGCACTGCCATCATGCTAAAGAGAGTCCGGAGTCGGTCCGCACTTTGTTGTGCCTTCGGCGATTTTAGATACTAGTCTTGAGATTTGCAAGTGCGAGTGTCCACATCAGCCCATTCCTCTCAACCTGCTCAAACAAAATCAGCTGCGTCCTGAGCTCAGAGAGCGTAAGTCGCGGCTTTCCATCACGGAAGCATCGTGCAGCCAGGGATTGTAGCTCATGATCATCGTTCACAACACCCTGCGGAGTCAGCGCTTCATGCGCATTACAAGAACAGAGAATGATTCGCTTGCAGTCCTGAAGATCGGCGATAACTCTCCTGAGAAAGGCAACCATCTGTGCCTGGGGAGGCAAATGCTGCTTCAGATGTACCACAACTCTCAAACCCGAAACTCAGCAAGCGCTTGCCTAGGGACAGGATTCTTGCATTTGTGTGCTCCCATATTCGGTTGAAATACGTCTCCCAAGACGTAGGCCTAAGCCCTGCAAGCCCCCAAGCGTTCCCCTAAACGCTAAAAGCTAAAAGCTCCAAAGGCATACATCCCCAAAGACCATGAAATCCATAAGCCGTAAACAACTTTGACAGGCCCCGCGGCATTCAGTTTCATAAGCTACGCCTGTACGGCTCCGAGGCAAGCTGTGCATCAAAGGCACACTGTCTCTCCAGGCAGCCGCACTCGCAAATCCTGACAACAGAAGCTCAAGCTGACTGTCGAAGTCTCGATCACGTTCAGCAGTAAGCCTTCTTGTGTCAGCGGGGCATTGGTTCCACCATGCACCATGGAAGCTCGAAGCTTGGGGCATGACCTCTAGCACAGTCGTCTCCCAAAACTGTTGGAACTCCCCACAAGATGGATCTTTGTGCCCGACAGCAGCAGCATGATGAAGGACAGCATGCCAGGCACCACCGCAGACAGCAGCCAGAGATTTCGCTGATGTGGCTGCCAGGCGGAGTATGCCAGAGGCAGCACCAGCCAAGCCACAAGAGTGCCGGTCCTGCAAAGATCATGTTTAGCTTCGCGTTCGACATCTCCCTAACCTAGCGCCACAGCGTCCAGGATTGAATTGGTCCGAGGATCACCAAGAACGACCGCCAGAGGAGAATGTAAAGGATGAGGTTGGACACACAGCTCATCGCATCCTTCGTGAGATGTTTTTTGAGGAGGTTGCAAGTAAACTCATGGCTTGGGATGTTGGCCGGAAGGCTGATGCAAGTGCATGACAAGCAGATGCAGTTGCGACATCCTCGACAACGTCGCGCTTGACATCCACAACATCGTCCCAAAGTCCCTGCAGGTGAAAGTTCGGATCGCCATCCACCTGCCGACGACATGAAATGTAGCAAGAACGGAAGACTGCAGCGCTTCTGGAAAAGGCTAGCGACAAGTCCACTCAGGGGGGCGGCTGACTCTCTACAACTCCACAATTGAGGAATGAAATGTGGAACCACCCGGCTCATCGATCAGAAGTTGAGAAATGCAGGCACATGTGGATGCTTTACATCTGCACGTAGCTCCAGCAGAAAACAACTCTCAAGCTTCCCAATAGAGCCATGGCGGCACTAAGATCTGGAGTTTGTGATCACGGGACTCATATGATCACACATGCTAGCAGACCTGAGCCGAGCGAACGACAGGAGCAGAGGAGAAAAAGACTGAGAAATGATGGCCTTCAGGCTGAAAAACTGCAAGACGCTGGCGCCGTGCTCTCGGCCCGCCAACGATCAAGAAAGGCAGCACTCTGTTGCAAGCCCGGGCCTGGAGATGCGTGCCATGGTCTTCCGAGGCAGGTGGGTGCAGTGCCATTGCAAACATGGCGTCCTGAGCACGAGTTCGCATAGAAAGCGCGGCTGGGCTGGGGATCGGCTGCATTTGCCACCGTGGAAAAAGAAGAGTCCTTGCCACGGTCCAAGTATGACAAGCGCATGCGAAGTAGGATCCTTGGAGTCGCAACATGCAGCCCACAGCTCGTGTCGATCAAGCATTCGTTTGGCAGCTGCATTGAATTGATCCTCTGGTCTTGATGCTTCGAAGATTCTCTCCGGCATTCGGTCCATGCCCAGTACGTAGCGCCTAGCAAGAGAGGCTCTGATAGCAGCCTTTGTCACATGTCAACATGGAGCAGCTGTCTATGTGGCCACCACGGCGGAGATTCACAGTGCTGCGTTGACAGTTTCAGCGGCTGCACAACATGACAAGTATATGGTATATGAGCAAGGCATCCCAAGCAAGTGCTGCAGCATCCAAAGAAAAGCCTGCCGGCCGAAATCTGCTGAAGCTTCTCCTGCCTCTGGAAGCGGAAGCCCGAGCTCGGCTGAGCGATCGACAAAGTAGCCGACACAGTTTCTGAGTAGACTCCTGCATACGACTGTTGGGTATAAGTGAATGAAACCACAATGCAGCGGCTGACGAGCTCTGCAGCATGCCCGGAACCTTGGGTGTCCCGTTTTCTCTGGAGGCTCCACCTGATCCTCGGTGGAAACAACAAAGTAAACAAAGTCCAGACATTGCATGTCCTTGCATCAGTCTCTGTTCTCTGTGCCGTTCGTATGTCACGCGCCCCAAACATGAAGTTCTGAAGGCCACATCGCGCTTTGACGCAAGTGCAGCTTGGTATCCGCCGGCTCTACGTCCTGACGTGCAAGCGATGCTAACCCGCCATCCGAGTCTGATTGCTCTGTGCGAGAAGCTCCTGTTGCCTGGAGCGGCTCTGCCGGCGGCGCCTGCAAAGGAAGGGTCTCGACAAGCGACTCTGCCGGCGGCTGCAGACATGAAGCGCCTTGCGGCCGCCCCACCCCCCCAGTCAGCATCACGGCGCTGGCAGTGGGCTTCGTACCGCTCTGAACTGGTTCGCTGCAAGTTGTCCTTCGACAAAATGCTGTTGGCATCACTCAAGCACATGCAGAGTTGCACACATGGCAGCCGGTCCTTGTAACGTAGTTCGAACCACCCTTCGATGTCCCGATTGAAGGGCACATCCCCCAGGCAGATTTCCACAAAACCCATCTGCGCATCTCCTTGGAAAGACACAGCGGCCCCCTCCTATCCAGATTGTACCTGTCACCCGCGGAGAGCAACTGAGCAAAGCTCGCATCATCATGACATTGGAGTGCGTCTGATCTGCCACCTGTATCCTTTCATCAGAGGATGATTGATGCAAGGTGACCAAGCAATCAGCAAGGGCAGGCAAACACGGGTCCTCAACATGGAATAGGGGCATACAACATCCAGTGACCGGTGGAAGCGCCTCACAGGTCATGACAGCTCAAGGCATTACCAAACCGCCTGAACTCACCCGGTCAGCCTAGCCACAACCGACACGTGTTCTCGAATTCTCGCAGCCAGAGCGGGAATTGAAAGCCACTCCCGCAACCCTTCACACCGTAGCCTGGATAACGAAACCTCAATTCCCGACCCATGGCTGCTCGTGGGCATGCTGCTGGGGCACCAGTCTGGAGCCGCTGTTCTCTGTTGGCACTTGGTCCTGCAAGCGAGCCGATCATCAAGGTAGACCTGCCAGACTCTGCGATTCATGATTGGAGACGACGGCATGACGCTTTACTTTTGAATGCTGGTGCCTTGGCATAAGGATTGCAAGAAGGCTGCAACGTCAAGGAAACGTCTTCTCCGACAAGATCCCGGGCACTCAGTATTGACAGCTCGAGATGAGCAACAGGTCCCAGCGTCTCCACCTCAATTGCGGCGAGATACACTGCAAGGCCGCCGTCAGTGCACGCAACCATCTTGTCCAGTTACTGCTTGCTACCCGGGTGCTGCACGATCGGGGTGGAAGATGCACCTCCATCGATTAAAATGGAAGTCCTCTCGGGGCAACTCGTTCGCTAATACCTCAGGCCACGTCCACTTCGCAGTTGACGTGACGAGTTTGATCTGAAATACAAGGGCGCTGCCGAGATGCAGGGCGAAGTAAAGGCTGATCTTGGCCTGTCTCTTCATCTGACCAGCCTCGTTGCGGAACTCGTCTCAAGCCATGCCGGTATTCCTGCATGAGCACCAGGAGTCTCCACAGATCCTAGTACTAAACCCTAAACCCTGGACCCTAAACCCTGGACCCTAAACCCTGAACACTAAACCCTGGACCGTAAACCCTGAACCCTAAACCCTGGACCCTAAACCCTGAACCCTAAACCCTGGACCGTAAACCCTGAACCCTAAACCCTGGACCCTAAACCCTGAACCCTAAACCCTGGACCGTAAACCCTGAACCCTAAACCCTGGACCCTAAACCCTGAACCCTAAACCCTGGACCGTAAACCCTGAACCCTAAACCCTGGACCCTAAACCCTGAACCCTAAACCCTGGACCGTAAACCCTGGACCCTAAACCCTCAAGAAAGTGATAAATAGAAATTGCTTGTCCTTGTTTGTAATCACCGCCACGGCCCAACATACCGGTTAAAAATTGAACAAGCTTCGTGATACGCCAATTTCTCTACAAACTTGTCACCGCCGCTCCAGCGCGGCCAACATTTGAGCTGGAGCTCAAAAAAAGGAACAAGCTTCTTGATAAACCAATTTCTCTACAACCTTCAACCCAGCCAGCCCCAGCCCCAGACCCCGGCCCCAGCTCCAGCCCAGCAGCCCCAGCCTCACACCCCCAACAGCCCCAGCCCCGCCAGCCCACCAGCCCCAGCAGCCCCAGCCCCAGCAAACTCAAAATGTGGCCTCAGTCAGAAAACCTGCCCAAAACGTTTCACTCAAAATTTTCGTTCAAAACATATTAATTGCCCCCAAGATCCCCAACAACCACAGCCCCCCCAGCCCCACCCCCCAGCCACAGCCCAGCCCCAGAGCCCCAGTGCCAGAGCTCCAGCCCCCCCCCCCCCCCAGCAAATTTCAAAACACGGTTCGCAAAAGAAAACTTTCGTTCAAAACTTTCGGTCAAAACTTTTTGGGACCCAAACCCTTAACAATTTCTATGGACCCTAAACCCTGAACCCTAAACCCTGGACCCTAAACCCTGAACCCTAAACCCTAAACCCTGGACCGTAAACCCTGAACCCTAAACCCTGGACCCTAAACTAAGCGAGGGGCCGAAACCGTCGAACGACAGGCCCCGAGCGCTCTGGCCGAGGGCCTAACAGCCCGAGCGGCCCAACGAAAGAGCGGGACGCGGAGAGGGGAGGGCAAAGCCTCCCCGGTCTGACCTGCACAGGTCAACGGTGTAAAGCCCATGGCAGACCCCAACGGGAAGTCTTCGAAATGAAATGAGGGACCGCCGTATCGGGACCGCCTCTAGCGTAGCTTGAGTTATAACCCCAAACCGTGATCCATTTGCTCTGGTTGGGGATTTTCGGGGTTAGGATTTAGGATTTAGGGTTTAGGATTTAGGATTTAGGGTTTAGGATTTAGAATTTAGGGTTTAGGATTTAGGATTTAGGATTTAACCTCCGGAAATTTGGATTTTTGCTGGTGATTTTCAAGTGACAAATTCTGTTCATAAAATGTGCCTTTTAGACAAGGCCGGTTGCGAATCTCGAGGTCCCCTCCTTTCTTTTCGTGTGGCTGCTTTTAAGCTTCCGGTTTTCAATATTTAGTCGCGCTTGTCCTTTTCGGAAAAGGACAACCAGCTCTAAAATCCAGATTTAGGATTTAAGGTTTAGGATTTAGGATCTAGGATTTAGGATTTAAGGTTTCGGATTTAGGATTTAGGATTTAGGGTTTAGGATTTAGGATTTAGGGTTTAGGATTTAGAATTTAGGGTTTAGGATTTAGGATTTAGGATTTAAGATTTAGCATTTAAGGTTTAGGATTTAGGATTTAACCTCCGGAAATTTGGATTTTTGCTGGTGATTTTCAAGTGACAAATTCTGTTCATAAAATGTGCCTTTTAGACAAGGCCGGTTGCGAATCTCGAGGTCCCCTCCTTTCTTTTCGTGTGGCTGCTTTTAAGCTTCCGGTTTTCAATATTTAGTCGCGCTTGTCCTTTTCGGAAAAGGACAACCAGCTCTAAAATCCAGATTTAGGATTTATAGAAATTGTTAAGGGTTTGGGTCCCAAAAAGTTTTGACCGAAAGTTTTGAACGAAAGTTTTCTTTTGCGAACCGTGTTTTGAAATTTGCTGGGGGGGGGGGGGGCTGGAGCTCTGGCACTGGGGCTCTGGGGCTGGGCTGTGGCTGGGGGGTGGGGCTGGGGGGGCTGTGGTTGTTGGGGATCTTGGGGGGGGCTCTGGGGGACGGAGTGCAATATGTTTTGAACCAAAGGTTTTCTGACTGAAGCCACATTTTGAGTTTGCTGGGGCTGGGGCTGCTGGGGCTGGTGGGCTGGCGGGGCTGGGGCTGTTGGGGGTGTGAGGCTGGGGCTGCTGGGCTGGAGCTGGGGCCGGGGTCTGGGGCTGGGGCTGGCTGGGTTGAAGGTTGTAGAGAAATTGGTTTATCAAGAAGCTTGTTCCTTTTTTTGAGCTCCAGCTCAAATGTTGGCCGCGCTGGAGCGGCGGTGACAAGTTTGTAGAGAAATTGGCGTATCACGAAGCTTGTTCAATTTTTAACCGGTATGTTGGGCCGTGGCGGTGATTACAAACAAGGACAAGCAATTTCTATTTATCACTTTCTTGAGAATTTAGGGTTTAGGGTTTAGGATTTAAGATTTAAGGTTTAGGATCTAGGATTTAAGATTTAAGGTTTAGGATTTAAGGTTTAGGATTTAGGATTTAGGGTTTAGGGTTTGCAGGCGTCGTGGCTCGAGCCGAATTAGGTGTGCTTCTACCTTAGTAGTGCCCTCCTTTTCGGTATTCCCGGCCCCAGCATCGCCCCGTGCGCTGCGACTGGATATCCCTCCGACGGGATCCTCTTGGCACCCTGCTTTTGACTAAGCGGTGCCCTCTGGTGGCCTTCTCAGGCCTGGAACAGGGCTTGCCCTTGGTTTTGCGTCGCTGCTATTTGATTAGCCGACGCCTGGGGTGCGTCCCCCTTTTCTGGCCTTTTATCCAGGGGTGGCTCCCTGTGCGTCGCTGCTATTTGATTAGCCGACGCCTGGGGTGTGCCCCCCTTTCTGGCCTTTTGTCCAGGGGTGGCTCCCTGTGGTTATGCCCAGGTGGGGCCCTATTTGCACCATCGTGGTCCTGGCCCTTTTTGGTGTGTCTTTGATCTGGTGGGGCTCCGAGACAAGCCAGTATACCGCGGACGCGCAGTCCGCCCTGGCACCGCAGACTCCGCCGACAAAGGAGTGCTGCACGCGCCCGTCTTCGATCTGGACGAGGTCGGCCTCCGGACAAAGCTTTGTTGAACAATCATCACGGCAGTCGCGCTCCTATGGCGCCGAAGACTGCCCCAAAATCGGGCAAGCAGCCGGCCAAGGGCTCCGGCAAAGGTCAGGAATTCCCCTCTTCCAAGTTGGAGTTTGGATATCCTGCGGCGCTGAACACGGCGCTTCAAGCTATTGGGGCCAGAGCAACCCAAGATCTTTGGCGTGGGCCCCAGCTTGGCGATGGGGATGCAACTGCCGAGCAACTCGCCCAGAGGCGGGCCAACCTGGTGTCCAAGCTGGCCAAGCGTGTGGAGGGCGATGCTCGTGCCAAGCAAGCGCTCAAGGAAGCGCTAGCGGCTTGGAGTATTTCGCTCGGCAACCACCTCGAGCAGCTCCTCACTCGCGTCCGTGCTCTCAGCCACAAACTCGACGAGGACCTCGTCGAAGCGTGCGGGGAGCTCGAAGCCCAGACCAGGGATGTGGCTTCCTCCTCTACGGACGACAGGATCGCGGCTGCCAGGGCATCGCTTGGGCCTGCTTGGAATGTCATACAAGAAGCCGAGGTGCTTCGGCTTGCGGCCGGTCTACGTGCCTTCGGCAGTGTGACGGCCGATGGAATGGCTGGTGGGCTGCTATCAGGACCTGCCACCAGTCATGCTCCATTCCCGGCCAGCGTCGAGGACTCCGAGATCAGTTTTGGTGGATGGATCCCAGAGCTGGTGCCACCCTCAGGGCAGGACTCCGGAGCAAGTTCGGCCAGCATCACGGGTGGTGCTCCTTCCCCCCCGGCAAGTTCAGCCTTGTTCCTTGCCGGGGATCGACCGGCCACTCGTTGGAGGAAGAGAGGCAGCGGAGCTCTGGAACGACCCTCCAAAAGCCCCCGTCGTGGACCTGCACCGGACACCGAAGTCGGCGAGCCGTGGGTGAGGACTACAACTGGCCTTACCCCCCAGGGAGTTTCCCGCCCACGCCAAACAGCAGTGGAGGAGGACCCCGAGCTGATCCCGGACAAGGGCGCGCTACAGGAGGCATGGTGCCGCGCTTGGATGGCTATCCTGGCGATGGTAGCGGAGAGTGGCGACGATGTTGTCGGAGAGCTTTCTGTGTGCGACGAGCAGGAGACAGCGCTACCACGGCACGAGGACGACCAATCAGTGGACAAGGTGGCTGCTGCGGCAGACGAGCTGTGGAAGTTTCTTGTGCAGGTGGTGGCTGCCCCCTCCCTGGAACAGCTGGCAGCTCTACATGCACGTCTGCTAACCTTGCTCTGCGACCTTCGAAGTTGTTCCGGTGCCCTTCCTCGCATCCGCCAGGGACTGTTGGTCGCCATCCATGCGGCGCTCGGCAGTCTGCTCGACCCGTTCAGTTACGCGCCTGGCACTCTGCAGGAATGGTTACACCCATCCCTTGTGGTGGAGCAGGGCTTGATCAGACAAGGATATCTGGCGACCGAGATGTCCTCCAATGCCCATGCCCAGATCCTGTGCAGAATGCCTTGTCCGTTCCCCTTGGCCACAACAACTCAGCCCAGCTCGTGAGCGATGGAGTCTCTGTTGACATCGACCCTGCTAGTCGCGATCTTGGGGGCTACGTTTGTTCGTATCTCCCATGGATCGCGGCTAGCCTTTTCCTCGGGCGATGTCTGATTCTGTACATAGCTCTGTGCAGAGTTGTAGCGGTTTCAGGGAGGTTTATTTCGGCATATGGTCCCCGCCTTTCTTGGCGCCGAGCGTGGCAGCTTGGCTGTGTTCTCTCAGCAACCGCTTGGTGGGTTGCTGCAGCAATCGGACCGCCTGCCTCCATGATGCTGTGTGCCATAATCAGCGAGCTCCTGGCTGGCCTTCCTGGACTTGCCTTGGACTTTGGCTCTGCCCTCAGTTCTGCCACTCAGCACTGTGTTCGAGTCCTCCCTGTCATCGTTTCTGGACTCGCTGGCGTGTGGGGCCGTTGCTGGACTTGGCCCCGCGGCAACGGGCACTCTGATGGCGACGGTGAGCGGACATGGCCTTTCCTCTCTTTCTGGCATTCCCCTTTCGCTTTGTGTGGATGTGTTATGCCGGCTGGGGCCCGATCTGCCGGTCGCAAGGTACGTGGGGTGCGGTACTGTGCGAAAGTGCGACCACGGAGGTCCTGTGGCCCTAACTTCCATGTGACTTTGCTCCTGCTCTACCTCTCGGTCGCTGACGGAGCTACTCTCCGTCTGGGTGCTGCTGTCCTTTCCTCTTACCTTGTGCAGCTCCCCGAAGCAGTGCAGTTGCATGCGCATGGTTTCCATGAAGGCCTCCCTGTTCTCAGCACAGGTCCCGTCCTTCCCACTCCCAGTGCTGATGAGATGTGTGACGTCTATCCAGTTGGCCGGACTGGTAACTTGCTGTTACCACGTACTGACCGTAGCCGCAGGCATCTCGCTGTGTTTGTGGGGACACCTCCTGGAGCGCCTGTCCTCGACCCATGTCCCATTCCCTTTCTGGTTGATGAATGGCTGCATGGGCCGCTGCTTCATGCTAGGTTAGCCGCTGCTCTTGGTTTCCCTACTGGGGTCTTCGCTGTATCTGGGGTCCGCGGAGTTCTTCCTGGGTTACCGAGTGAACAGCTTCTCCTCACGCCAGCTGCTTGTTCATGGCGGCAAGTGTGGCTGCCCGTTGATTTGCGACAGCTTGGTGGCCGAGTGTGTATGATACAGTGTCCTCGTGACTCCACATGCAGAGCAATCGCCCAACTCGCCCTTGCTGCTCAATCCTTGACGGCGGAGGTTGACCTTCTTCTTGCTCGTTGCACGTGGGGCTGGTTGACCCTTGCCTCCCAGCCTCTCTTCTTGCAAGATGTTGACACGCTGCAGTTTCAGATCGGTCCGGCTGTCGAGGCGCTTCAGGGTCCTGTCGGATCGTCCCTTGATCCTCCCCTGTCTCTCTTTTCTGCGATGCAGGTGAGCCTCCCTACTGCTCCGGCCGCCTACGACGCCTTTCCGGGTCATTCGCATAACCAGGCCGTTCTAATCACACCCAATGGGTTAGTATACGTTGAAGCCCCGGTTTTTGCTGACGCCGCGACCTTCCGACGCATCGTGTCTACGCGGGCTTCCCCTGCCGCTACTGGTGGCGTGTTGCGTATCTGGCACCCACTTCCCTCGCTCCCTCTTGTCCAGTTTCTTGAGGTTCATTGTGCTGAGGGGGAAGTGCCGTGCATTTTGGATTTCCGTCCTGTGGGCTGGAGGCTGACTACTGTCTGCATCTCGCCCCCTGTCACTGCGCTCGCCGCTGTCACCGCAGCTTCACGTCGGGATCGCAACAGTCTTCCCCACGAATGGGTAGATCAGTGTGCCAGGGGTGGCTTCGGTCTTCTTCACAGGGAATTTTCTGTGCTTCCGGATCAGGTCATTTCAGGGAGCTTTCCGTTGGTGATCATGTTCTTTCCGCATGTTTTTCGCCAGGACTCCTCGTCTTCCTCGGAGGACCAGGTCGGCGGGTGGGACACTCCAGGTACTTCGGATACCATTTCCGCCCTTCAGCACACCCTGTTGCCTTCACCCGCGAGAGCTTCTGCGTCCGCCAGTATGCCTGCCTGCACCGGAGTTACACCCTCTGCTTTCCTTAATTCTTCGGTCCCTCGCGCTGCTGAGCAAATTGAGGAGCCGGCTTCGGACACGTCTGCTGCTGTCCACATGTTGCGAAGGCCCTGGGTAGTCCTTCCTGTCTTGGGGGTCTTAGGTGGGCATGCCGGAAAGCAACCTGGACTTGGCACGTGGAGTGTTGCTTGCTTCCTGCTGCACCTTTCTCCTGTTGCAGCGGTTCAAATCCACAGCGAACCTGCATCGCCACGTGATGCTGTTCTTTCTGCTGCCAGAGCTCCAGACCGCCAGATTGCTGCTCCTGCTGGAGCCCACTCTCACCTGCAGTCCAAGTGGCTCCTGACTGGTGACTTCGGTGATGGTCCTCTCTGGTTATCACTTCCGTCCCCTGACTCGGTCTTCCTTATAACTTGCCGTCTTTGGCTGCCAGGCTCCGATGTGCGCCTTGAGTTTTCAAGCACCGATCGGGCCCGTGATGTGTCTGCGGAGCTGTACCGCCAAGCCATTCGACTTGGACGATCTCAGATTGTTGCGGCGTCGGTCGGGCTTACGCTTGAAGCTGTTCACCTTGTGTCCCTGCCATCGCACCCGGAAGCAATTACGGTCCTTTTTGATCTAGGCAGGGAGGTTGTTTGCAGCGAACTTCCGTTCGACTATAGTCCGAATCAGGTTATTACTGCCGCTCAGGAAGCAGCCTCTAGCAGTGACATCCAAATCTTGAAAGGCCTGGCACACAGACTTCGCCACGGTGATGTCATTCGGGTGATTGTTAACTCCGAGCAACGTACGCTTGATGTCTCGGCGTTCACTCTCCCGCCTCATGTCGCCTCCGCCTCTCGGTGGCTTCGGGAGTCGAGGGTGGTGTCCTTCCTTCATTCCGTTGAAGGGGTGCTCTCTTTCGAGGTTCCGCGGTCGTACGCCCTTGACATCACTGTGCTGAGCACCCTCCTGCATAGTGTCATCCCTGGCCGTCATGTCTTTGTTGAGATCCCTGGGGCGGATGCCCTCCCACATGCAGCGTTTTGTGTTGCTCGTCCGGGCCAAGACTGTGTTACTTATCGCCTGACTGATGCCTCTGATCCTTCCGCTGCAGGCCTTTTTCTAGCCTTTGCAGGAGTTTTCGAGTCCTTCCCTGTCTTTCTCGACAGCCTTCTTTACAGCAATCGCCCTGCAGCTGTCTTGCTACGTCGGTTGCAGCCTTTTGGCTTGTCGGTGCTGTCCTGGGAATGTACCGTTATCCCCGGCCGAGGGGATTGTCACTATTGGCATGTTCATGTCCAGGCTGACCTTGCAAGGGCTCGCGACTACCTCCTTCATTTGCATTGGGAGCCTAGGATTGTTCGTAGTCCCCCGCCCCTGCCGCCGCCTCGGGTTCGAGTCTCTCATAGTGTTGGGGTTCAGACTAACGCTCCCTTTATCTCCGCTAGCACACCTGCGGCTGTTCTGCAAGCACCCCCGACCCTATGTGGCGCCGGGGTTACACCAGATTCCGCTTCCGAGCTTGTCGATCTCTGGTGTGATGCTTGGCACGTAAAGTGTCTTGTGGCCTGCGTGCCTGGATTCGCTGTCTGGGCCCTTCGCGAGGGGGGTCGCCTTGTTGGCATGTGCACACCTGTTCCTACATGGGAGGCCGTTGCCCAAGCGCTTTCTCTCTCCCTCTGGGAGCTGCCCCAGACCTTTTTGTCGGATAGTAATCAGATCTGGCCGTTTCCCCGGGACCTTGCCAGTGTCGTTGGGAGGTGTGTTAGTGTAGGCTATGACTCGCCTGAAGGGATTTCGCAGTTAGCGCATAATTGCCATTCACCGGTTCCGAGCCCACCACCCGCTCCACCGACTCTTGTGTCCCTTGCACTTGGGCTGACTTGTCCTGGGCGCAGCTTGCTCTTGTGCCTGCTGGGTCTCCTGGCGCTCCCTGTTGATTCGGTGCAGCTGCCTCTTGAGCCCGCCACTCTGGTTCCTCGGCGCTCTGCTGACGACATTTTGCATACTCGTCGTGACTTCACGCGGCCCTGCACCATGTCTTGGACGCACGAGCTTGGGCGACAAACGCATGGTTTTGCAGTCGCGGCGCCTCAGCTAGGTGCCTACGTTGAGCGCACTTCACCACAGTATGAAATCCAGCTGCATCTGTGGTTACCCGGGCAAGGCCCGATCCATCTGCGTGTTCTTGCGCGTCACCTTGACCTGCATCTTAGTGCATATCTTGGAGCCTTCTTGCCTGACTGTGAATATGGGCTCCATGTTGCCTTTGACTCGAATCCGCAGGTCTTGGACATTTTGGTTACCCCGCCATCTCCACCAGTTTGGTGGATCCTTAGGGATTCCATTGGGTGTGAGTTGCTACGGCCAGTGGTCCAGCACTTTACCTCTCACTGCTCTTTCTTCTTTTGTGCCATTGAGCCTGATGGGGTTGTGCACAGTGTCGAACCCTCGGCTGAGGTGCGTCATATGTCACCGAGCCCCCAAGGAGCTAGGGCTCTCATTGGCCGTGCTCTCCCAGGGTTGGTCGGCCGATTTGTTGATGGCGTCCTTCATGTCGTAGCGGCGAGAGCTTGCTCGCCGGCTATCTTCGGCGGCCTGACCCTGCTTCTTCTTGGGGGGCAATCAGCTGCTATGCACCCGCCTTATAGCACTGCCCTGGCTACAGTCGCTGACGTTCCCCCGCCTGCACCTACTACCATGCGGATCTGGACACTCAATGTCCCCGTGCCTGTCGATCTGCCTTGGCGGCCACAGGGTTACCCAACCCGCTGGCTTCGCGAATTGATGTGCCGGTTACACCACATTGACGACCCTGGTGAATTCCGGTCTACTCTCTCCTCACCCGGCGGGACCGTGCAGCACGTTCTCTTTGTGCCGATAGTGCCCACCACACATCCTACTGCTAGATTCTGGCTGCTGCACTGGGGAGACGCGGCTGTTGTTACTTTTGGGCATACCCCTTTTCATTGGGATGTTGTCTCCGCTCACATCCGAGCCCTGTTCCCAGGGGGACCTTTGCCAGACCGTTGCCCAGCTCTTTCCTTTGCTGGCCAGTTTTACCCGCCTGGAGCTCCCTTGCCCGACTTCCCCTCTGGAGCTGTCATTCAGATCATCATCGGCGCCCTTGCAAGAATACCGGGAGACGATGATCCCTGGAACCCTGACCCGTTAGTCATTGATAGCCCCTTCTTCCGACATGTTCCCAGTCGTGGCCCTGCTCTGGAACCGGCCATCCGGCTTGACGGGCGTGGTAATCAACTTGCTGCTGGCGCCTTGCAAAACCCCTTGGTCGATCAAGGTGTCCAGACTGATCTCTCAGGTAACGGTACTGGTCTCGACCATGCCACCGTTTCCCGGGTTCATCTGCTGTCCCGTGAACTCTCTTTCCATACGTCACGACTGTGGGCGGGGCTTGCGGAGCCTGACGCTGAGCCTGTTGGAGACTCCCCCTCCGTTCTGAGGCTTTCCTCCCAAAGCACTTGCGCTGCCGCCTCGGCCAATGTCGATCTGCTTGAGGAAGCCACAAGCTGGCTCTCCCGTCCTCCGTTAGCTGGTTCTTAGTCGGGGCTCTTCTCGGTCTTAGGGGGGTTGCTTTTAGGAGCGTTCTTGCTCTTGCCACTGTGAGCGAAGGCTCTATTATCTTCCCTCCGCCTGATTGTTCGGCCGAGGAGTCGTCTGATGAAGAAGGTCCCCCTCCTGTCCAAGCTGAGAACATGTCGGACGCTTCTGGGGCACCAGTCCCTTTCACCACTCCAGCGGGACCTCCTCCACCGGAGCCGGTGAACGCCCCCTTCCAGCCTCGTTTGCGCTACCTTCGTGCGGCCCGCCCTCTTGAGGATTATGCTCTGGGACTTTGGCCCTCCACTCTCGACAGGGAGCCGGCTGCCGATGAGGATGTTATTCGCCGGGTCCAAGCTGATTTGCTTGGACTCCAACGCGGCCTACGCACATTTGCCGCTGCCATCCCATTGGGCACGCCCTTTTGTATCCACAACCCCTTCACTGCCCGCCAGCAATGTGACATTGTGGAATACTCTGCTGGGCCTGAACTTAATCCCTTTGTCCTGTTTCAAGGCCATGCACGCAGCCGTGGTTGGGCCGGGATAGTCTTGCTCATGCCGCAGCCCGATGCCACAGCTGTGCATCTAATTGGTTGCCCCCAAGCACCGGGCAATGTCGCGGTTGGTGTCGTCATTGACGGACGCCTAATTCCTTGCTGCCTTCCTGCATGTGTAGCTTGCGCGGCGCTCCGAGCGCTTCACCTAGACGGCCAAGCATATGATCTCCGACCTCCGGAAGTTCATGAAGAAACTGCTGTTGTCCAATTTCGCAACGGCGACTGTTTGGCGGCAGGGCGCCGACCCTCCCGCCAGCTTCCCTCCCAGCAGGATGTGCAAGCCGCCGCCGCAGAAACCTTGGGGCGTGGCACCGATGCTGCAACCTCGGCCCCCGGAACTACTTCTGCTGCAGTCAGAGCCGCATGGTTGTGGGTTGGGCTCGTTGTCACCTCCGCCAGGTCGCCTGGTGTGGCGCCTGCAATGCTCGCTCTCTGTCTCTGGCACGCAGAGGTTCTAGGTATGCATAGGCCAGGTGGCTTCCCTTGGGGTATTGATCCGGTTAACCGGCGGTTCTCTGGCATTACGAGTGAGGACCCGGTTGAAGTTGTCTTGCACAGCCCCTTTCTGGGGGTTTTTCCGCCCTTTACAGCCTCCCAGGACACTTGCCACACTCAGGCCTGGGCCCAGTTTCGCAATGATGACCCGGGTTGGGCGGCAGACTACTTTCCGGTCTGGCCGGGGCCCGCATTCAATGAACTTTCCGTCGTCCCTGTCGGCCATGATCCCGCCCTTGTCACCATTATGCTTGTCTGGGGAGGTCACCATCGGGCCACACTCACGCCTCGAACTATGACGGTTGCGTGGCTGACTTCCTTTGTTGCCCGTCATATCAACAGTGAAGTTGGTGGGCTTTCACTTCCCCACGGTTTGGCGGTTTGCGAATATTTTGATATCCCGCCTGCTGCTTTTCGGTTCCGCAATGGGGACGTAGTTTATATCCATGATCCCCCAGCGGACCCTGATGAGCCGTTAGAGTTTGTAGAGCCGTGGCACCTCCAGGATGGACTCGCGGCACACCACGCTCCCTGGGCAGTGGGGTTCCAACTTATGTTTCCGATTTCGGTGCACTTGCTTCGTCCTGAGAAACCGCCACTTCTCACGAGCATTCCGGCTGGCGAATCATGGTGTCCTGAAGCATTTTCATTTTCAGGGGACTTTAGACACCAATTCCCTGGCTTTTGGACGCCGGTCCAGTGGACGAGTGCCCGTGCCCTGCAATTGATGGCGGTTAACGAGGTTGCAGCTAAGGTTAATGTCGTAGCGGCTACTCCTGAAGGGCGGTTGTGCCGATCGGTTGATCGTGTTGTGTCTCGTGCCAGCCTCGCCGCTCAACTGAGGTTTTGCCCTGCGACGGTTCAGGTTGGCGGGGTCCCGCCATATGCCCTGGAGCAAGCGTGCGAACTCCGCAACGGGGATGTTGTTTTTGGGGAGTTCGCTCGCGGTGGCTGTGCGACTGCCTCCTGCCGCCTAGGTTTGTGGCTAGGAACTGCACTTGCTTTCTCACAGCTGCCCATAGCACGCCAGTTCTTGCTTGTCCTTGCTGTTGGCCTCTTTTATGGTGGTCATCCTGCGAGTTTCGGGGCCAGCGCTCTGCTTTTCATGTCGCCCGCGGCGGCCATGATTCCACAGGCTCCTGCAACATCCGTGGCAACCCCGGATATCCCTGCTGCCACTGTTAACCGAGTCACCCTCACTCTTGCCAATCCTTTTGCACCCTGGCAACGTGTTGAGGTTGACCCCAGTAATGCCTTTGAGGAGATCATTGCAGATGCACATCACACCCTGACGTCGTGGCATCGGGGGTTTGTTGAATCCGGGCTGGTGACCGATGGTTCGCATGTTCTGGTCCCGAGACCCGGAGGGAGGCTCACATGCATACTGGTCACGGGTCTAGGGCAGCTTCTTTGTGTTGTTGTGCCCTCCTTTCTTACTCCCCGCGATCTAACCCAGGCCTTACAGCTGCGCTTTGGCCGCAGGGTCAGTGTACACCTATCGCCCGGTCTAGCTGCGTCAACCCGGGATACCAGACCCATGCTCGCTTTGCGCTCAGGTGACTTGATAGCTGTACGGCTTTTCCAGTCGGACCCTTCAGCGGGGCCACGTGAAACGCCCGTCTTCCTGACCTGGGGAGCTGCGCATGCCGCATCAGCATGGCATTCCGACTTTATTGTGGCACACGCCTCCTGTGTGCTGTTGTGGTCACCCAGCCGACCCGCTCGGGTCGCTCTCCTCCGACACCAAGCGCGGTGGAATGCTGCCGAGGCCACCGTTTGCCAACACGAGGATGCCTTGGGCGTATACCGGTGGGCGCCGTGCCACGGACACCTCGGGACGCCTCCTTGGCTTGTTGAGCAAGCCACTGCTTTTGGGCGTGTCAATATCATTCAGTCTCGTGGCTCCACTAGGTGTGTCGAGATTGATAGAGGCGCTGCACACGACCTGTATATTCACGGGTTTTCCCTCCGCCCCGCCTCTAGTCAGGCTACTGAGGAAGCCAGTGTCCGCGATGGCGATTGGTGGGTTCACTCCCTTGCAGCTGGATTGTTTGGCCGTCGGTTCCCCGCGCTAGCCAGACTTTTGCTCCTTGTGTATGGTTTCAGTGGGCCCGCCTGGGCGGTGTCCTCAGGATCTTCGGGCCGATGTTCCAGTGTTGACTCTTCGGAAGCTCGCACCATTCGCACCAGGATGCCGCCTCGGCGGAGTCGCTCCCGTGGTCAGGACAGCTCTCACCGCTATTTTCCTGCGCGAGTCGATTTCAGCAGTGGTGAACCCTATGTCCTGCAGGCGGGGTGGCAGCCTGATTGTACTGACGGTCAGCTGTGTTTTGCCCGCTGCTTTCCAGGTCCAAGGCCTCTTACCACCCGAGTCCTCTGCCCCCTGAGGGGTTGGAGTGAATTTCATTTTGCTCGGTTGGAAGGACCATGGTCCCTGTTTGAAGCTGTTGGATCCCGACACTGTGGGGCCTGGGCAACCCGCTTCTTCCCCGTCCGTGGGGCATTTCCGTTTGCCCAAGTTACGCTTGCCCCGGCTGCTCCTTTCGGGATGGCAAGTGTAGTCTTCCACACCCTCAGTGGCACTGCAGTTGCCTTAGCGTCGGTTGATGCGTCGCTCGAGGACATTCAGCGGCTGGCCGCCCGTCTCATTCCCTGCACACGGTTTTGGGTTGTCATTCCGCCTCCTTCCATCCGCGCCGCTAATATGCACACGCACATCCGCCTTCGCAACGGCGATGCTTTTGGCTTTCTGCCTGACTCTTCTCAACCCGGTTCTACGCGGTTCCCTGCTCTGCACTACCCATCCCTTGATCGGGCGCGGCAGGTTGCCAGCTGGTCGTTGTCCTTCAGGTTTGACACCGGCGGCCCCGTCACCCTGTGGACAACCTCCAACCGTTTTGGCCAGTTGGTGTATGTACGTGACAATGCGTATTGGGATCCTCTAGGCCCCACTTTTCGAAGCTTAGGCGGAGAGACCCTAACAGGTTCCTGGGTACCAGTCCTTACAGGTGACCTGTCGGACCTACATCTAATGTCCCGCACCTCAATTTCTGAAGCGCATGTGCTCTTCCTTCTGCCGCCAGAGCAGACACCGGTGGGGGTCTTCCTAGCCGGCTGCAACACCCACCGCATTCCCTTGGGCTGGCAACTGTTACCTGCCATTCGTTATGTGCGTGCTGGTAGCACGCTGAGGGACGGGGACGTCTTGGTTATCGCCCCGACTGCTGATCTTGTTTGGGACCCTTTCAGTATCCGGCCTCCCAGTTTAGATGATGTGCAGCCGCAGAGTGCCCAGCACACTTGGCATCAATCTCTGACCTCTGCCTCGCCTGGCCCTACGGCTCTGCTAGGCTTTCTCGCGGTTTCGGTGGGTCGCGCTCCATGGTGGTTAGGGCTTGCCCTCGGGGTTGTGCTAGGGTCTGGCATGGTGCCATCTTACGAGCTCCCCGATCCGCCCATCCGAGTCGGGCTGTACCCATGGCGCGCGCGTCCAGGTGAAGGCGACCTCCTCGATCTTTCGGTCCGCCCTGAATTGGATATTGTTCTGCTTAGTCCTTTCACAGGGCCTCGGGAGGCCGGTCGTCTGTACACCTCCGCTGCCATTACGGAGCTTCACACTTTGACGCAGGCCTGTGAGCCGGCATGGGGTGCCGATGCTGTGCCTGTCTGGCCGACTGCCGCCCTTCCTGCCTTGTTGGTCGTTCCTCGACCCCCTGACCCCAGCCTCGTGGCATTGTGCTGTCTGGGCCGTCGACTTTTCGGTCTCTGCCCGGACAAACTTTATACTCTGGCGCCCTGGGGTCCGTGCAACCCGGGGACATGCACCCGAAGGGGCACAGTGGCGGGCCCTCGACTTTACATTTGCCGGGGAATTCTGTCAGCACTATCCTGGGCGTTGGGTGCCGGTACCATGGATTGCCCAAGATCATGCCCATTTAGTTGTGGTGTCCGAGGACCCGACATATGTCAATGTTGTCATTGAAGCTGACGGTAAGTGCTGGTGTGCACCAGTCACTGCCGTGACGGACGCCTGGCAGTTATGGACTGATGTGCCCTCAATCCCCACTCAGCCACGAGTGCTGGGTCTTTCACACCAGGAACTGCGCCAAGGCACTGTCCTCCGCAATGGTGACGTTGTGTCAGGAGCTCCCAAGGTCGCCCCGCTATCGGGTGGCGTTTGGGTTCTCCTCGCTTTCTTTCTCTCTGCCCGATTTCTACCGACTTTCCCGAGCTCCTTGGTTCTGCTTGCTGGCTTGGTTTTCGGATGGCACCATGAGGCTGTTGGTGCCCGACACCTTTCCATCACAGTTGGCCTCGCTGCCGCCGGGCAGGGTCACGTTAGGGCAGTTAGGATGCATGACACACCTTATCCTGTAGGGGAATGTCACCGCCTCTGGGAGCCCTCCGGCTCTGTGTCAGGGCCGTTTTTTGGTCCTGTTGATCGCCCGCCTGAGGAGTTGCGTCATGCTGCTGTTGCGTGGTCTGACTTTACTCAAGTCCTGCCACCTCAAGATCCTCGCATAGTTGACTGGGTACCTGTCCCTTCGGATCCACTCTTTGTTGTTGTCTTGCTTCAGTGCCCGCCTGCGACTCGAGCCGCAATCTTGCCAGCCACCTGTCATGCTGCAGACCTTATCCGTGCTTGTCGGCGGTCGGTTCCTGATTTAGCTTGTGTTTTAGCCTCGCCTGAAATCTGGTGTGGCACCGCCACTTCCTTTACCCCAACTCTTTTCCTTCGGTCAGGGGACGTGCTGACCCTGGCATGTGCCGGCTGGGTTCCACGCCTGCGCTCTCCCAGTGGCCGCTATTGGGATACCTTCTATCAGGCCCGTAAATTTGCATTTTGGGGTAGCCCCTTTCAGATTCGTATGCCGGGCCTTCTGTTTGCGTGGTCGGCCGGTGATCCTGTTCCCTTGACGGTTCACACCGTTCAAAATGAAGTGTGGGACCCGGAACACTGCACATTCCGTCCCTCCTTGGCCCGGTACAGTGTTGACCGTTGGATCCCGGCGGCCCGTTGCGATCTGCTAGGCCTCCACCTTGTCCCTGAGAGTCTTAATCCGCATCGTGCACATGTTCTGCCTATGCAGCCACCCCTTCGGTTGTTGGAGGTCTCCCGTTACAGCACGCGGGGTCTGATTCGGGATGGTGATAGCGGCTCTCTTGGTAGCAGCGCTCCCTCCCCCCGTCTTCTGCTGTGCCTTGTTGGCCTTCTGCTGGCGCGGAATGCATTGCCGCTCTGGCCCAGTGGAGGGGCTCTCCTTTTTGCAGGGGCCTCTTTCGGGGCGTTTCCCTTCAGTGGCACCCTTGTCTTACCGGCTGTTTCTCCTGTTGCGATGCCGGTTTCTGCTCAGAATCTTCGTGTGGTGTCGCCCAGGTGGCCGCCGATTGCGCCAAGCCGGGGTTCTTTTACCGTTGTCGGGGGACCTCGCCGTGGCGGAGCGCTGCCCTTTTGGCTTGCTGCCCCTGAGCCAGCTGCGAGGCCTGTTGCCCAGACTGCTCCTGTTCCACCGGCATGGTCCGCGTCCTTGCTTGACTGGTATGGCCGTGCGTGGGGAGCGCCGGCCGATGACCGCGACTTTGATGGTTCTCCCGCGACTCCGGCGACTCATTGTCTCGATTTGCAGGACGCCGGGTATCATTATGCCGGCTTGGCCGCACATTATCTGTTTAAGCCCCTTCTCACCGACCTTCCTTCGTCACTTGCTTCCCTGCTCCATCAGGGATGGTGCCGGTTTCCCCGTTGGCCAGGCGGTGTTCCGGACGAAGTGTTCATTGCCACTGATGGTAGTGGGTTAGGCAAGGGAGGTTGGGCCCTAGCTGTGTGGGTCTCGTGGAAGGGCAATTGGTACCGCCTCGGCTGGGACGCCGGCAGCCTTGCCTCTACACCGTGGCTTCCCTCGTTTCCTGCAACCCATCTTGACCTTCGTTCTTACCTGGGGGAGCTGAGCGCTTTAGTGTCTGCTGCCGCATGGTTTACGGTGTGGTGGGACAACATGCAGCTCCTGACCGGGAACGCGCCTGCCAGGATTACCTTAGCTGTTGACAACAGTGCAGCGCTTCAAGTCGCAGGGGGCCATGCTTCGGCGACAACGCCGCATGCCCGTGTCTGCCGGGCTCTGTGGCAGTCGATCCAGTCCCGATGTTCGACGCACTTCAGGCATGTGCCAGGCCATACTGGCAACCTCGTCAATGAAATTGCCGATGCCTTGGCGGGGTACGGAACTGCTCATGACCGTTGTGCGTCTGTCGGGTGGTGCCGTCTGCCGACTACATTTGGGGACTCACTTTTAGAGTGTGCCCCGCTCATGTGGCTCTTGGCGCAAGCTCGCCTGCAAGAAGGCCGGTTGTGTTGGCGCTCACCGGGATGGGTTGATTGCCCCCGCACTTCCATTCAAGAGCCCCCGCAGATACGGCCGCAGGTGCGGCAAGATGACGAGCAGGTCAAGCCTCTTCGTACCACTGTCACTCTTGTGCAAGCCAACATCCAGACAATTAAAGATGTTGATGTGTCCTTCTTCAATAGGGATGGACACGGGCAGCGCCGCATCTACCTGGCTAAACAACTTCGAGCTCTGGGGGTTCATATTGCCTTTCTTCAAGAGTGCCGCAGCCGCCCGGGCCGGTGGTCCTCCCACGGCTTTCTCAGCTTCCGTTCGGGAGCCGAGAAAGGGCTGTTCGGGGTCGAAATTTGGATCCGCCCCGACCTGCTGCACCCTGCTTTGAGTCTGGACGACTTCCGCATCCGTTTTGCCAGCCCGAAAATTCTGTTAGTGCAGTGCCAACGCGCTGAGCTCCCGGTTACTCTGGTTGCAGCCCATGCACCTCATGCTGAGAGGCCGGACGCGGAGATTCGGCGGTTTTGGCATGATCTCAAGACGCAACTTCTTCCTGCCTGCAATCGCGGTACTGTTCTGCTAGGTATTGATGCGAATGCTGACTTTACGGGCCGTGATGAGGAAGAGACCCTTGTTGGCGACCTTCTTAATCTCCGCCCCGCCAGGCTTGGCGACGATCTCCTTCTGGCCTGTGCTCATGATACGGCGCTGGCTGCCCCTGGCACTTGGTCTGAGGTCTGCACTGGACCCACTTGGACCTGGCAGCACACAGGCGGGAAGACCCAACGCTTGGACCACCTGCTTATTACCCATGGCACTCGGGTCTCTCAGTATCGCCAATTTCCTGAATTTGACATCTTGAATGGCGAGGCCAGGGATCATATGCCCATTGTCATTACTGTTGACGTTTCCGGGAAGTCCGCAGGTAAAATGCATCCGCGCTGCCCCTACTCGGCTGACTCTGGTGCCGCTGTCGCTGAAGCTGTCTGGGACGCTCTTCACCAGTCCACACCTGGTAGTAGTGCGGAGAGAGTTCAGCAACTTTGTGCTGCCCACGCCCATGCGATCCGCTGCCTTCCTGCCCGGCCCCCTCTTCAAAAACGGCAACCTTATCTGTCTGAAGTTGCTGCCGGCCTTCTTGAAACTCTTCGTGATGCACGGGCCGAGGTTAGGCGGCTTCGCACCCTCTATCACCGGCAACTCTGTTTGGTTGCCTTTCGGACATGGTGCCGCCGCCGAGTTGAGTCCCCAGCCCTCCCCTGGGAACTTCATCAGGTCCGCATGATGATGGCGCATTTTGCACACGTTTGTTTCCGGCTTCGAGCTCAGGCTCATGCACAGGCACGGCTTGATAAGCAGGCCTACTTCGAATCCATGCTCCTCGGCGCAGTCGATCACTGGCATGCCACCGGGCGCCCTCTCGAGGCGGTGGCCAAGCTGTCTTGGGCGTCCAAAGGTGCCAAGCAAAAACGTGATGTTAGGGCCGCAAGTGGGTTTGACATCGATGAGCAACTCCAGCTACAATTCCAGCAGCAGGAAGATGGCCGCCCGGTGTCGGATGCCCAATTGAGTGCAGCCTTTTCTCTTTGGGCTGCTGAACCGCGTGGCGTTTGTCTTTCGGCCTTACCCACCCTTCTTGATGTTGAACACATGTGTCGACTCCAGCGCCGAGGCAAGGCCCCTGGCCCGGACCACATTCGTAATGAGGTCTGGCGAACCCACCCCGATCGCGCCGGCCGATGGTTGTGGCCTATGTGGGTTCACCTCGCTTGGGGCGAGGCCGAGCCACTTCACTTTAAAGCTTCTACTGTGGGAGCTCTCCACAAAAAAGGCCCAGCTCACATTCCCGCCAACTTCCGGTCCATTGCCATGCTGAATGGAGTGGCTAAGTTGTGGCACTCCCAACTTCGGGCCACCCTGGGTCAGGAAGTTATCGCTCATTACTTTCCGACCCAGCTCGGGGGTAGGCGAGGCGTGGACACCGGCCTTGCCCTCACTGTCTTCCGCTCTGCTGTCGACTTGGCTTCCGTTCATGGCCGGTCCTGGGCTGCCTTGTTTGTCGATATTCAGGCCGCCTACTATGAAGCAGACCGAACCTTGCTTTTCCACGGTCGTGACCTTGAACCAGCTCTTGCGGGCCTGCAGCTGCCTCGTCATGTTCATGGCCTGATTCAGGATGGCGTCCTAGCGGGTCTCGGGGTTCCCGCTGACCAGATTGCTCTCCTGCGTGACTGCGTTGAATGCTCGTACTGGCGCCTTGTCGGCCAGCACCAGGCTATCATTGCAGGTCGAGGGTCCCGGCCCGGGGACGGACTGGCCGATGTCCTGTTCGGAGCCTTGTTTGCAGTGATTTTACAGTGCCTCCATTTTGCGCTCAAGGCTGAAGACATTGTTCATGCCGCTTCCTCTGATGCCCTTGGCCGACCTGATGCATCCCTTCAAATCGCATGGGCTGATGACCTGTGCCTGCTTGTTGATTTCATCCGAGCCACTTGGGCTGTCTCGAAGTTGCGTCGCCTTTGCACTATTGTTCTCCAAGTTTTCGAAGCCTTTCGGTTCCGCGTCAACCTTGGAGCAGGTAAGACCGAAGCGCTCGTTCACCTGCAAGGAGCGGGGGCTAATGTTGCCCGCAAGGATCTCTTAACCCCTGAGCCCCTTCTTGCCCTCAGTGATGGGAGAGGCATTAGGGTAGTCCCTGAATATAAGTACCTCGGGGTTGTGCAGCGCTGCCGTGACACTGGCCGACGGGATGTCGAGGCCGCCGCCGCGCGTGGCAACTCTATCTGGACTCAAGCCTCTGGACTTGTCCATTCTGAGAAGTTGCCGTGGATGCTCAAGTCCGTATGGCTGCAGGGAAGGACCCTCCCTGCAGCGTACTCCTCCCTTGCCACTACTTTAGCTCGTTCTGAACGAGCCTGGGGACCCCTGAATGGTTTCTACGACAAATGCCTTCGCCAGCTCGTCGGGTCTTGGGATGCTGGGCACCATGTGGCCTCAGTCCAACTGCGAGCCTGTACAGGGGTTCTTGATGTTGAATGTGCTACGGTTATCGCTCGTGTGCGCCTGCTCTGCCGCATTGCCTCGGGCCGTTCCCCTGAGGTCTTTGAATTGTTCCAAGCCAGCTGGGATCGCGGCGGGGAATGGTCTTCCCTCCTTGCTGACGCGGTGCGGCGTGTTTGGCCGGCCTGTGGCCTACCGGCACTCCAGACAGGCGAGCCTACCCTTCTCTGTGTGCGCCGGCATACCAAAGAGATCCTCTCGGCCTGTCGCCGGATCAGTCGGTCCGGCACTATGCTGCTGGCTCTCCATCGGGCGTGGAGAAGTCATGGCGGTCCGCCACCCAAGCGGGTGATTGGTCTCGCGTCCCCTCACATATGCCCGGAGTGTGGTGTGACTCTCCCTTCGGCGCATGCCTTAGCGGCCCATGCCCATCGACTTCATGGGCGCGTTGCTCTGTGCACCCAGTACACGTTGGGGACGATCTGTCTGTGGTGTATGGTCGAATTCCATAATGCTGCGCGTCTCCGGTACCATCTTTTGCACTCACCGGACTGCGAGCACGGGCTTCGGTGCTGTGTGGGCCCTGTCTATGAGTATGGTACAGGCACCAAACGCCGCGGCAAACAGGGCCATGCCAGGGCCCCGGTTTTCCGTGTTGCAGGCCCGTGTAATGCTACCGCGGCACAGCGTCGTGCCGCCGAGGAGGGGCGTTGCTGCACGGACGAGGAGCTCGCTGCTGAGTTACGCACTATCGCCCCTGGTCCGAGCTTCTCCGAGGGCACTCGCTCCTCTCCTGTTGTGCCCTTTCGCCGTGTTGGTGGTTACTCTACTCTTCCCCCTGGCGAAGAGGCTAGTACGATCCCGTGCCCTGAGGTCTTGCACTCACCACATGCTCCTGTTGCTTCCTCCACCGGAGCTTTGGACTTTGGTTCACCCACCACCTCGGTTCGGCTCTCTTCCGATGACACCGCGGCTGCTTCTGCTCGGTACCAGACGCATCCAACGGAAAGGTTCTGCACTGTCTATTGTTTCGACGAGGCCCCTGGCGCCTCGTCGTTCTGCGCCCCCTCTTGCCGGTGGTGTGCGGTGCCTCCCGCCATCTGGTGTCTCCCGCCATCGTGGGCGCGGTGCTGGAAGCTCTTTCTTGCCCTTGAGTCGCTACACCCGTGGGCAGCTGAGACTTGGAGACTCTCTGCCTTTCTGCGCCAGGAGGAACGCCCCTCTCCAAGCGCCACACTCGGATGCCTGACATGCTTTGAGCAGATCGCGGCACAGCGGATCCTTTTCCTGCGGAGACTGCTCACCTGTCTCCACTTGCTTCGTCAGATTAAGGCTGGAGCTGCTCTGTGGTGCGCTGTTCCCTTGCCTGGCGCCTTCTGGGAACTTCTGCGCCGTGTCGTACCTCACGCTGTGGGTACATCGGCTGTCGCCGTGCTTGGTTTTGGCACTGTCGTTAGCCTCCCTGCGGTCGCCCCGCGGGCTCTTTCCTCTCTTGCCTCGGGCTGGCTCTCTTTGGCCTCTCCCCGTCGCTTGGCGATGCCGCACCAGCTTCCCTTGTAGTTTTGCGGTCCGAGTCCTTACGCCTGAGGCGTAGGTCTCGCCCCGCCGTCTTTTCGCTTTGCATGTAGGGCTGTAAGTTCCCGCTTTTCCAGGACCGCGGCCTCGCCGCTTTTCGGTCCGTCTCGTTTCTTGCACAGGACTAGAACCTTCTACGCAACGAAGAAGAAGAAGTTTAGGGTTTGCGGGGCCGGAGCCCCCCGGACACCGGCAGACACCCCCGGACACTTTTGACCCTCCGGACATGCCGGACTCCTCACACAACAGAGGGCCTCCGCAATTTGGATTTTTGCTGGTGATTTTCAAGTGACAAATTCTGTTCATAAAATGTGCCTTTTAAACAAGGCCGGTTGCGAATCTCGAGGTCCCCTCCTTTCTTTTCGTGTGGCTGCTCTTAAGCTTCAGGTTTTCAATATTTAGTCGCGCTTGTCCTTTTCGGAAAAGGACAACCAGCTCTAAAATCTAGATTTTCCAAAGCTGTCAAACGATAAGCTTGAAGGGCCGAGCAGGCCCTGCCATGCCGAAGGCCCGAAAAGGGCCGAGGCTACTCCCAGCCGTTGCCTAAACCACAATTTCAACAACTGGAACGTTCATGGGTGCAAAAATATAAAAGCCCCCCTTGATAGACCCTAATAGAGTATAGTTTGGGTGGCCGGGGTGGGTTTACAAGCAACGCGAGCGATCGGCCCGGGGTGCTTCACACCCGAGCGCGCGACCTCGCCAGACACACCCTGAACCCTAAACCCTGGACCCTAAACCCTGGACCCTAAACTCAAGGCATAGGCCGCCCACCTACTGTGGGTGGGCGGCGCTTAAGCCCCTCCCTCGACCTCGATGGCGCAGAGCGACCCAAGACGCCTGCCCGCCTCTCCACAGCCATGGGGACGGTAGCACCCACGTCAGGCCCGGTACCGGAGCCGGTTCTCCTCGGGACCAGTACTGGTCCCTAAACCCCACCCCCTTCACCATGGAGGACCAGGCCATTTGCGCGCCCCTCCAAAAAGGGACCCCCCAGGGGGGGCGTGGGGCCTGCAGCAACCAGAGTTCGGGGACCCAGGGGCCTCCAGGCGGGTCCTAGGGCAAACCCACCCTGGCCCTGCCCTGCTTTGCCCCGCCTGAGGTTGAAGAAAAAGAAAACCGTAGACTGAGTTTAGGTGCTAAACCCTAAAAGGAATAGGTTTGGGTGGTTTGGCCGCCTTAGACGGCGTGGGGTGGGAGAGTGAATAAAAAGAGCCAACCACAATCAGGCTCAAACGTTGAATCGCTTGAGGACGATGCACTCGAAATTACACTGTCGCAAGCTACTCCCGCTTATGCGCCATTCTACGGCAAACCCTGAACCCTAAACCCTGGACCCTAAACCCTGGACCCTAAACCTGAACCCTAAACCCTGGACCGTAAACCCTGAACCCTAAACCCTGGACCCTAAACCCTGAACCCTAAACCCTGGACCTAAGAGAGGGGTCGCAGACGTCGAGCGACAGACCCCGAACGCTTGGCCGAGGGCCCCACAGCCCGAGCGCCCATACGGAAAGAGAGACGGAAAGGCGAGGGTTAAGCCTTGCCGCCTGTCCTGGACAAGCCAACGAATGTGGCCTTGCTTGCGACAGCGTCCGAACTCAATTAAGGGCTGGCCGTATCCAGACCACCTTTAGCATAGCTAAAGAGTAACCCCAAATCGTGCCCCATTGACTCTGGAGGGCGCTTAGGATTTAGGATTCTAGGATTTAGGGTTTTTGAGTTTTAGGGTTTAGGATTCTAGGATTTATGGTTTAGGGTTTAGGACTTAGGATTCTAGGATTCTAGGATTTAGGTTTTAGGATTTAGGATTCTAGGATTTAGGGTTCTTGAGTTTTAGGGTTTAGGATTCTAGGATTTAGGGTTTAGGATTTAAGGTTTAGGATTCTAGGGTTTAGGGTTTAGGATTTTAGGATTTAGGGTTTAGGATTCTAGGGTTGGGGCTTTAGGATTCAGGATTTATGGTTTAGGATTTAGGGTTTAGGATTCTAGGATTTAGGGTTTAGGGTTTAGGACTTAGGATTCTAGGATTCTAGGATTCTAGGATTCAGGGTTTAGGATTCTAGGATTTAGGGTTTAGGGTTGTTGAATTTTAGGGTTTAGGATTCTAGGATTTAGGCTTTAGGGTTTAGGACTTAGGATTCTAGGATTCTAGGATTTAGGGTTTAGGATTTAAGATTTAGGCTGGCCGTCTATGGCACCTCGAGCAAGGCGCAGGATCTGACAACCAGAATTTAAGATATTTAAGGACCAGGATTTAGATAGATAGGGTTTAGGTTTAAGGTTTAGGCCTAGGACCTATGTTGAAGATTTAGTTCTCCAAGCCTCAACAGTCTGAAATGCCCGCGGAGGATACTAGTTTCCAAACGCTCGGGGCTTAAGAGGCTTGGCCACCGTTCTTAGAGGCACCCCCGAGTGCCTCACCCGAACACAGACGTCCGGGCGACGGGGCTGTTCCTCACCTTGGAAACTGGAACATCGATACATTTGTGTGGTTTCGTCTTTTATGCCCGTAAAAAAAGTAATTGCTCGACACTCACGCGGCGACCCAACCTTTTCCACTTTGTGGCCTTCTTTCCGGTTTTCCATGTCACTCACGAAGCCTGCCGTTTCAAGCTGTGTGGCCTGCTTTTTTCAGGTTGGAGCGCTCCTGCCTGCAGGTTCTAGTAGCTCCTGCGGGCGTCCCTGTCGCATGTCACTCAGAAGACCATGCTGTTTGCCTGTCTCTTGAGTCCCTTGCCTGTCACACTCTGCAGGGTCTACCCGAAGGCGCGGACACCTTGATGTCATTTGCGCTGAAGCGGCCAGTGCCGCCTGCATCTGCTGCTGCTCCTTTGTCACATCGACAGGTGGAATGGTATGATCACTGCCGTGTGGGCCCTAACGTCGCCTCTGCCTCGGTCGCTGGTGCTCCGAAGGCCTGCGGAAGCTTTTACAAGTTGTGCATATGTGCTGCAGCGAATGCGCAATGTGGGTGACCCTAGCTTGTTTCCGCCTCGTCGATGTTCTGGCCATGGTCTGTAGCTGGGTCCTTCAGAATACAGTCTTCATAGGCGACTCGGCAAAATGGGGGCTTAGGTTGTTTCGGACACTGCTTTCTTGACGGTTGGCAGGTTGGCTATGCGTCGGCCGCCCGCGCCCTTTTTATCACGGGGACCGTAGTGTCCGTAGCTGCGTCCTGAGAAGAGTGGCGGCTGAGGTTGGCTTCAGGTTTCAGGGCGAAGGCGCTGTGAGGCTTGAGGGGTTAAGCTCAAGGTCTTTGTGTCGGTTAGGGGCTCCTAAAACTTCTTCCAGGCTCTCGAAATCGTACGGACGAGACAAAGCTTGGGGGAGTTCGGTACTAGTGTGGGTAGCCTAGCTGCTGTCCGCCTCTTCCACTTTGTCCGTGGGCTCGACAGCTGCGTCCTGCGCAGTGCGAAGGCTTCAGCTTCTGCCTAAAGATTTTGAGTTTCAGCTTATGGTCTACTTTTTCAAGAGCTTGTTTCTCTGCAGGTGGAAGATTTAAAGCTTAGGCTTTCGGTTATGGCTGCAGGGGCTTAGTCGGAGAGTGCCTTGGGGTTTGATTCCAGGTTCTGCGAAGATTTTCATGTTCCGTTTAGGGTCGAGGTTTTCAGGACAAGGCCTCTGCGACTTTAGCTGGCAGTGCCAATTCTTGTGGCAGGGCTTACAAGTTTCCTGCTGACTGACAGATTTAGCGGATTTAGGCTAGCCCTGGCCTTCGCCTCCGGCACATCGCCCGCGGGCTTGGCGGCTGCGTCCTGCACCAAGCGCCAATGGTTCGGCTTCGACTTCGGTGATTCAGGGTTTAGGGTGCAACGTAGCGTGGGCCTGCCCCAAGCCCAACTCGTCCCAGAAGTCTTTGTCGGATTCCTCAGCAAAACAGAGATTGTCGTCCCGGCAAAGTCTTGGGGGATTCGGCCTGTGCTCGGTCTGCTGCTGCGCAAGCGGCGACCTGGCACGAGCTCTTCGCATTTTTTCCGGCTGTCAAGGCCCCGATGCCTTGGGCTTCCGGGAAGCTCTTGACGATGAGGTTGGGAGAACCTTGGTTCAAGTACTTCTGCCTTGCTGCATAGGACGTCGCGTTCCTCTGCCCCCGGTTTTTGCCTTGGCTTTGCCGGCCGCCTCGTGGGTGCTACAAAGTTGCTGCTCGTGCCTGGGGCGTCACCGCGCCTTGGCTTCGCCGCGTACAGGTAGTGTGCCTTCCAAGGCCACAGGCTCCGGCGTCGCCTCCTGACGAGGGTGCTTCAAAAGCAAAAAGCACAGCTTTCTAGGACGTCCTTTGCTTGGTCTCGGAGGCGTTTGTCGCTCTGCCGGTTTTTTGTCGGCGTTGCGAAGGTCCTGGAGTTTCTTTTCTGGCCTGCCATGGCAGCAGTTCTGTAGACCTGCATCTGTATTGAATTGCATGCTTTTCGGCGAGGAGAGCCTCTTCGTCTCCCTCATCCGTTTTCCTCTTGAGCTCGGCCCGCTTGTTGTTGCGGTTCGTGTTCGCATTCTCTCTCCAGCACTTTGTGTCCTAACGAGGGCTTACAGGGGGCAGTGTTACGCGGTGAAGCCGCCTCGCTACCTGCGGGCCTCGCGCCGCTTGGCGACCTCGCGCTGAAGTCGCTGAAGTTCTTTGGCCTTCGCCTCGACATTGCGGGGGTGGAGACATAGAACTGAGAGTTCTTTTCAGCTACCTCGCGGGCCTTGGCCGCAGCCTTCGCAGCCCGGGCCTTTGCCCGCGCGATTAAGGTTTAGGGCTTAGGGTTTAGGATTTTAGGATTTAGGGTTTTGGGATTTAGGGTTTAGGATTTAGGGTTCTAGGATTTTGGGTTTAGGATTTAAGATTCTAGGATTTAGGGTTTAGGATTTAGGCTTTAGGTTTCTAGGATTTAGGGTTTAGGATTTAGGATTCTAGGATGCAAGGTTTAGGATTTAGGGTTTAGGATTTTAGGAGTTATGGTTTAGGATTTATGGTTTAGGATCCTAAATCCAAAATCTAAAAAGCCGTATTAGAGCCTAACAAGCTTATAAACTCTTATTATAGAGCGCATTCAGGCCTGGCTGTCATGCGGTTTTTTTCATGTTGCCACCATGCATGTGCCGGTTCCTGCCCATGGTCCTGGCCCTCGCTCCGGCAACGCTCCGGTTCTCTGGGAGCACTGTTGGTGAGGCGTGCTTTTGCTTGAGCAGTCGCTGTTGCAGGTCAGCATTCGCTACCAGAAGCAAGAGAGCCGACAAGGACTCGTACTAAAGGTACGCTGGCTCAGGTCGGTCTCCCACCGGTTTTCTGCTTAAACAAACTTAGATCAAATCAGTTGCTGGTCTTTGTCGCCTACTAGCTCAGCCGCGTCCCTCGGCGCTACCATGCGGGCCCAGTTAGAAAACAGAAAGGCAAGGCCTCCAGCCTTGACACCCCGAGTGTGGGTTTACCCCGAACTGAGCATAAAGTATGTGCTTTCTTTTTTTGCCAGGAAATACCACCAACAATGCTCGGAACCCGCCGCAGGCCAAGTAAATCCGAACCCATCCCAAGGCCCAAGCATCTCTGGGAACCAAAAGTATACATAAACCAAAATCACGCAAGAGGAAACATACTAAAAAAAGCAAGCTAAAAAAACCCTAAACCCTAATGAGTATAGTTTGGGTGGCCGGGGTGGGTTGACCAGCGACGCGAGCGCACGGCCCGGGGTGCTTCACACCTGAGCGTGCGCCCTCGCTTGACACACCCTGGACCCTAAACCCTGAACCCTAAACCCTGGACCCTAAACCTGGACCCTAAAACCCTGGACCCTAAACCTGGACCCTAAACCCTTCGGGTCCTGTTTCGGGGCCTTCTGCTTCGGATCGAGACTGGGGTCCAGGAGCGAAGTGAAGCCCTTCTCGGCCCCCCAGCGTCTCTTCCTGATGTCAGGAGGTGTCAGGGTTCAAAGCTCTTTTCGACTTTAGGATCCTTCAGGGCCCTTTGGGCTGAGACGCAGCATGATAGGATTACCAACATCAAGGTACGTTGGCGTAAAGTCCAGTTGCCAGCAAGCTTCTCCTCCTCTGCAACCCGTGGATTGGATGCAAAGACATCGTTGGCCAGCGTTTGAAACTCAGAGCCCGAAGCACTTGCGTCCACTTGGCCGGGTTCCCGAGCCTTAAGGTGGCGATGGTCAGCAGCTGTCTGGTTCCTATCTGGCGAAGGCCTTTTAGATCATTTTACATCCAAGCCTCTACCCCTCCTGGCGATCGGCTCAAAGATGCCATGACAGGGATGCAGGGCTTGGGATCATGGCGCCATAGGGGGCTTCTGCTTGTTGACGAATTGAAGTTGTGCTCTTTACTGGTCAGGCTGACATTTCAGAACCTCAATTCCCGAGTCACAGGAGCTGCCTGAAACGGCTTAGGCTGATGAGCCAAAGGCGAATAAAGAAATAGCTCAAAACGTGCAGACTCTTGCTTTGCCCGTCGTACAAGCACTGCTTGCACCTTGCGATCTGCGCTGAACCAGAGCCGTAAGCTGGACCTCTACAATGCCCAGGGAGACAGCATAGCACAAGTCCGCAAAGCAGCGCATTAAACAGTGTGGGCCTTGGTGTTCTCCGAAGCTTCAACAAGATCGTGATTGTATTCTAGTATGAACCTAGGACTAGTAGCAGAAAGGTAATCAAGAGGCAGTGGTCTTTGACCCAGGTGATGACAAGTCAGATGTCAATCGCGAGCTGTCATACAGTTTTGTGCGAAATCCGCTTCCGACCTGCAGTGCCAACCGCCGCTCTTCCGAATTCGGGGCTTCTGCGACCGCCTGCTGGGAATGGGCCTTGGGCAGCGAGCCGCGCTTGCCGGATGTTCTGTTGTGGTCTAGGCATGCAAACGAACCTATTGCTTTCATGTTGATTCATGTGGTGCAATTCCTTTGGGCGGCGGACCACAGCAAGGTCCAGATCGGACAAGTCCATGTGGCAGACAGCCAACATGCGGAACAGCCTGAGATTTGATTTATCCGACAACTCATTGTGTCCCGACTGCAAAATGGCTCGAATCGGCAAGCCGACGCCTGCATTTCTTGGATGAGCTACCTGTCAAAGTCTGGCTGTGACAATGTCCGCATCACGAAGTCTCTTGAAGCGCCGCGACACAGGACACGGCTAGCATCTGTCTGCAACCTTCTGACATCAGACATGAACGGTGAACGTGACCACAGCACCGCCTGCTGGCACCGCTGCCACCGCGAGGTTCAGCAGTTCAACCGCTTCCGACAAGTTGCCCGCAGAATGATGGGAGACAGCCTGCCATCCAGGAGAGGTGCGGTCTGTAGCACAGCACAGCTTTCCAAAGGCCCTGCCTGCTTGTGGCAATGAAAAAGCAATCCGTCCAACCTTGCGGCAGTTCCGGGAGATGGAACGCTTCTGCACCCATCGGCCCCCAACGCAGAATGAAAAGATTTAAGCTCTGAGGATTCTGCTGTGCTGGTCGAATCTCAGGACGGAGGGCAAGCAGCTCGCGGACACCCGCGAGGTCTGCAAAGGCTTCCTTGTAGGTCGCTTGCCGAAAGTGGACGTCGGCCATCCACAAATATGTCTGTGCCGCAAGCTCTGCCAACTTGGCATGGCAGCGCTGTGGTTGCGCTCTGAACGGTTGCAAGGCTTCCGCAAAGCACAGAAGTGCTTTTTGGTCGTCGGACGCCAAGACCCACGCGCGCCCGGCCAGTGCCCAGTGGATCGCCAGCATCTCCTGGCCCACACTTTCACTGGAGCCTTTGGAGCCCGCAGCGTAGAGCTCGCAGGCCAAGCTTCGGCATCTTGCATCTTGCTTCTTCTCGGAAGCTGCAAAACCCAAAGCTGCCCAAAGGCGATGGCCAAGGCTGCACAGCTCCGTGCGATCTGCATCGCCTGCCTGCATCGCCGCGATGGCGACTAGTGGGGCCTTGGAATCCCTGGCAGCTTCGATCCTGGCATCCTCCTCAACCGTGAGCGGCCGAGACTGCAGTCTCGCAGCTTCGACGAGACTCACAAGTGCTCGTAGTTGCTCGATTGGCGTTTCAGCCGGCTTCGACACCAAGGGCTCCATGCAGATTTGTGGCAGGCAACTTTCTGCCATGGGGCGCGGCAGAATCGCAAGTAGCGAGAAGAGGTAAGGTACCGAAGCTACGCCGTGTGACTGCTCTTAAGTCCTACGTCGTGGCTTTTTTGAAAAGGATTGAAGCTAACGATGTTGACGGACGCGTATTCGTTGAGTTCATCAGCTGGCTTGCCTATTCTCGATGTCGTCCAGCTAGCACTCTGTACCTTGCTTGGACATGGCGATGAGGAACAAGCGAGACCTGCTCGGCTTGGCGGAGGCACCGTCCAAACTGCACTGACATGCTGGCAGGAGCTAGAAATTTGCTGACGCTCTTGAGTAATCACGTGAGCACACAGGCGCCCACCACAGCCTTCTGAGGGCAGGAGTTCTGGAGACACGCCCCAAGTGATTGTCTCACTTGAGGGTCAAGATGTGCTTGTCCGAGAAGACAACTGAAGGAAAATAGTGGATCGGGCCGCCAACATCTGAAGGAACCAGCTTGGCTGTGTCTTCCCTCCGCAAGCTTCATGCTAGACCTACAAAACTGATGCCCTAGTCCTAGCCGTCACGAAAAAGAACGATGCCTTGGCAACCGGCATGCAGGCATGTAACAAGATGCTGCACATGCCTGCGTCCAACCCGGCCAGCCATGCAAGCAAGACACGTCATTGCACAAGCTTCACTTTGAGCGCTGCAGCGCGCAGCCTCGGTGAGTGAGGCAGTTCCAACTGGACAACCTGTGCACGACGATGGCACCACTTCCAGGCATCAACCTGGCAAGTAACGGCTTAGCCTGTGGCGCTAGTGGCCCACCTCTCCAAGTGTGTGCTGAAATTCGGCGTCCTGTCAAGCAGCTAATGCTTCGCAATCGCAGCAGAAGAGCCTTCGAAGTCGTGACGATGCGCACATGAGCTGGCAGGTCCTCAAGTGCCTTCAGCTCTCCGAAGGCAGGGCAGTTCCTCAGAAGCCGAGGGAGAAGACACTCGGAAGCCTCTGACAGAATCACTTCACATGGAGCTTTGAGCTTTCTGTGCGAGGCACTCTAAACCGATGGACGTGAGCAGCTCCACTCCTTGTGTCCGTCGGTCCCTGAGCGTCTGCAAGGAGTCTGACAAAACTGCAACCAAATCTCTCAGCTCTCTCCGGCCGCCCGGCCTGGGAACGAAGGTATACGGCAAGCGAAAGACTGGCTTGGCAGCACCAAGCATCATCAACATGGTGTTCACACCTCGAGATGGCAGGCAGGCGATGGGAAACGCGCCGGTCCCGTGACTCCACATCGTGCCGAGCCCACCACCAATTGGGTTGGGATCTGTGAAAAGCCTGGGAGCATTCTGAAATCGTGTCGTGACAAGACTTCAAGTACCATCGCAACATCAACAAGCAGTGCCGCTGCTTCGGAAGCTCAGGCGTCCTTTTTGTTCTTACCCGGGCGCATTTACAACTCAGTGCCGCGCCACTTGTAAAGTGGCTGCAGCTTGGCATCTAATGCATCATCCTGTGGATCAGAAGTTAGCTGGAGCACCACGTCGCTAGAACATGAACCAGCTTTCAGACTCCTTTTCTGTCATAAGCTTCTTGACCAGAGCCGGCACAATGTTCGACCTAAGCAGGATGCTTAGCTTCAATGGCATGCGTTTGCTTTGCGGCCTTTCGTTGATTTCGCCCCGTTTGAACCGAGGGATCTCTGCTTTGTTCACTGGCTGCTTGGTAATCGATGCCTTGCACAAATCCTGAACCCCATGCTCGCATGAGGCGCCCAGGTCCCAGGCGTAACAGAAATGACACCAACAGCTCCATGCTGATGTCTCGATTCGTGCATCCTCGAGTTCTTGTGGTTGCCAGGACTTCGGACACAGTCGCTGAGGCAGCGGCTGGTCATCGTTGCCAGACCAGCAGCAAACGCCAATACTGCTGTATTCCTCTGCATCAAACACCACGAGCCCTTTGCGGGCCTGCTTGACTGCAAACCCTCCCTGTCTACGGTTGCTTCAGCTCAATCAGTTCTATGGACATCGTCTTGGCGCCCAGCACATAAGCGTTTGTCAAAACTTCTTATACATGGCCAGACCAAGGATGTTTTGGGGGGTCCGACAAGGATTCCGTCACATATTTCTGTGAGGTATCGCTGTGATAGTAAGAAGACCATCAGACTCACTGATCCTACTGGTAGCTTGCCCTGCCCTTTACAGCCTTCTACTGCTCTTTGCTGCCTTTTCCCTTTACCTGCCGTTTACTGCATTTTACTGCCCTTCACTGCCCTGGCCTGCCTTCAGAACCTGCCCTCTTCCGCCCTTTACTGCCTGGGGCAGTGGATCATAAATCGATCTGACAGGTATCGATTCGGGTGTCGCTTGGGTATCGAATAGGATATCGATCGCCTAGCCATATATCACATGGAAAATTTAGGCACAAATGCCGCAGCAGCACGGACTCGTTGGTCGTATCGCTTTTGGCGGGTCATGAAGCCCGAACGAATGTTTATTCCCTACTACGAACCGCTTAGGCTTAAGACGTCCTCCAACTTTTGTGAACCACTGCTTGTTTTGTCAAACATCAATGTCTCGACACAAAAGTGTAGAATTTGGCTGGGCAGATCGGTTTCTGGTGCCGCTCTGGATCGCTCTGTCAGACTGGTGACAACTTCTGACAGAACGAACGCAAGGCAGCGATTCGAGACGATCCTTGATGCGCTCGTGGCCCATGCACTCCTTCACGAAGCGACATTGCAGCATGCTGCGCTTTACACATGCAGCTTCCTTTCAATCAATGGCCGAAGAGCTCCTTGACGCCCACAAAATTAGGGTGATCCTTGATCTTTACCATCACGCTGGACTTGATGTCCTGATGAAGGTCTCATCAAGCACGCATTCAGCATGCAGCAGAAAGTGCGCTTGACTGTCCTGCCCCGTTCGGCCCGGCACCTGAGACGCTTTGCGAGAAAGCAAAAAGAGTAGCTCACTCCAGCCTTCCCTGGGCGCCCTTGCATTGTAGATGAAGGCAGGTCCGAACTTGAGGGCCGCTTCCAAATGCATGATCTCAGCTGCTTCGACATGGCAGGGCGCTGCGCTTTGCGAGCAAGCGGTGAAGGCATCGGACAATCCCAGAGTCAGATGTCTTGCCTGGGCCGGTGAGCATGCACGCAATGCATGCTCGAAGCGTCATGCGGCGTGTGGCGAATTGGCGTCGGACCGTAGTAGGGATTGATCAGAAGTGAAGCATCCATCCCGGCAGCCTGCCGAAGGCGACTGGGATGAGAGCACAGGAGCGATAGAAACGCAGTGCCCTTGTGACGACAGATCTACGGGGCCGAGTGGCGAAGCCCTTCTCCGTGGCCCAGACGGCCTCACGCAGAGCCGGAGAGACGGCAGGTGCAAGGGTAGAACAGGTGCACAAAAAGACAGGCACATGCCTCTGCAGTGTGGTTGCTGCCAGTATTTCCGACCTCTGCAAATGCAGGTCTGCGGTCACCAGGCGTCGGCACCGCTTTGAAACTGCGCTTGATAATTGGCGAGTCTTTGCACGAGCCGCCGGCAATGAGGATTCGGCCACCGAATTTGGCCTGCTAGGCATCTAGAGGGAATCGAAGAAGGGCAGATGTAATCAAAGAGTCCTTCGTGTGCGCGATGAGGTTCAGGTGTTCATCCCAGGAAAGGAGGTGACCCTCCCCCGTCGTGCCGCCAACAATCAAGCCTTCGACCTTGATATCTTCGGGACCATCACAGGCACTCGGACTCGACATCCTTGTGCCATACACTGAGAAACGAGCTCCATTGGCGATTTGGTGCTCCACAATCTTTTCGTAGGCCTCGAAGCAAGAGACGCCCCGGACAAATAGTTACTTCAAGCCATGCTCGTCCTACCTCGAGATCCACCTTTCCATCAGGAAGATAAGGCGTCTTCACAGCTGTGATGAGCCTCACCTGCGTAGCCGTCCCCGGTGAGAACTGCGTGGATTTCGGGTGGAGGTCAGCCCTTGGCCTGTTCTCACAACATGCTCGTTTCGTACTCCGGTCTTCTATGCACAGCTTATGCTATGGCACTCCGGTTCAGTGTTCAGCTGCCGGCCCGTTAGCTCCACACACACGCTCTCACGCCGTTACCGCCTGTCATTCTGGACCTGCAGGCTGACTACGACAGCTTTTCTCTTTCTGATTCTTCCTTTGTGTGTCTCTTTTCGTTTTCCTGTCTTCCTTCCGACAAGGCATGTCACTGTATCAAGTAGCAATCACTGGCTCTGTGCCTCTCTCTCACTCTCTCACACACCCCTTCACACTCACTCAGGCACACGAACAATAAGACACGAACACGTCCGACCTTTCGCAGAGCAAGGGTCGCCTCGGACATGGCTCTGAAGACAGCTAGGCTCAAGGCTAGCCTTCACTGGCTGGCAGCGGAAGCGGCACCAAGCAACACCGCTGCAGAGGCATGGGTCACGGTGTCTCAAATATTCCGATGAGAGCATTTTTTCAAACTGAAGGCAGCAGACCTGGAATCGCAAAGTGAGAGCCTTGCCAAGCCGAATGATTTTATTGTCTTGGGTCCTGGCACCTCGTGCTTCGCGACAACACCGTGTTTGAGTTGGTGCTTTGGGATGATGCACTCGGAGATTTCATTCACCCAACTCAGAGCACGGTATGCTAGATACTTTCACGAAGCTGGATGCAAGGCCCAGTCATGAGGCATTTGCTCACGAAGACGTACATGCGTACTTTGACTCGAGAAGTTGCTACCTCATGACATAAGGAACTCGAGCAAAAATCAGTGGAACGGTGGCTGCGCTGGGCGCAGGCTGCCTGCACTTCACCTTCGCAATTACTTGTTAAAACACTTTCTCACATCAGCTTGATGCCAATGTGACAAGCGGGTGAAGCGCCGGCAGACACAACTACTAGAACTTCTGACATGCGGCTCCCAGGCACAGGGTTCACTGGGCTTCTAGGAATCTAGTATTTGGCTCCCGTCGCCAGGGAATTCGATGCTGAGTTTAGCAGCTGTGAATCAAAAAACAAGGCGCTACCGAATGCGCCAAGCCCACGTCATCTTGCCAGGTACACATCACGCTATCTTGACTGCTTGAGAATCCTACATGTTGCTTCCAACAGCCCAAGCTTGTTGGAGGTACCTGGCAAGGTGGTGGGACCTTTCAATTCCAAAGGGCAACAACCTTACACTCCTAGGTGTAGAGGCCACTGCCGGTTTCCTTCCTACGTTGACCGCTCGTTTGGAGGGCTCAGGCGGAGCCGTTTGCCGCTCCTTTGGACAAGCGTCCAGTCAAACGATTTTATCATTCGTGGCACGCGTCCATTGACAGTACGTGGCACGAGCATGTTGCAAACTGGTGTTGCAACGCAGATGGGGCGACTTTGTCACTATCAAAAATAAGTTTCACATTAAGGTCACAGGCTGGACAGAGCGAAACAAGGCACAGCTCTGCGCGTGTAAACCGCTCATGCACATTACCGGGCACATCTCTGCTTCTCGAAACAGAACTGGTTGTGAGCAGTTCACCGCGAGCTATGTTACTATGCACACATGGGCCGAATGACCGGAGTGACGCAAGCACACGTCGTCACCGATGGAAATGATGGTATGACAAATGAGGCTAACCTGTGAAGTGTGAAGTCGCTCCGGTCACATCCCGTCGCAGGTGATCGTGGCTTGATACACTTCCCGCGCACCTCAAAGGGACACAGCAGAGCGTCCAAGGCTAGCTGATGTTGATTTTGCGAGCTGGCATGTTCGGACCATTTCGGACCTCTTCAATATAGAATATCGCAGATGTATGTGCTGCTAGCCGAAGTGCTGCAGTCGACTTTCTCCATGCCTGACTCGAACCACACGCAGCAGCTCAGATTCCCACGCTTTCAAGCGAGTTTGACGCGCCAGTGGCTTTGATGCGTGTCTGTCTCAACCTCAATGCCTCTCAGCAGGACCGCCCAGGCAACATGAACGTAGACTGAGGAAGCAGAACGAATGTCAGCACGGACCTGGTATGGACATCAACCACTTCTTGAGGCTGCCATCGTTCCGCCTCACTCTAGCAGGCAGGAGAAAGAGTTTGGATCTTCGACCTCGATTCTTCGCCTTTCGCCTTTACCTACAGATGCTGAATGATGCTGAGCTCTTTGCCTGCTATTTTCTCGGACGTACATATTGAAGCTTGGCGCTACCTTTGAAGTGATAGGTTCAAGCACTGGCACGCCTGTCTTTAAACCTCCGTGGACTGTAACGGTAAGTAAGTTTCATCAAGATCTGCCAGGTCGTTGCAGTCAGCACTTACGCAAAGAACATGTTTTACATCGAGGGGCTTTGCCAGCGAGCCAAACGCCATCCACAGAGCCGCCTCTTCCTGCCATCAGATTGACACACAGACCATCTCGGAATTGTGGCGGCAGTCACAAACAGCAGCTCTCTGGCGAGTGGGGCTCGGTCTCTGCTGGAAAAGTCTGGCGCAACTCTTCATGGGCTTGCAACGTCTCGCTCTCTCCCAGCACCGTCTCTGAAACATCTCGCTCAGCCCGGAGTTGTTCTGTCAGGTGTGGCCTTCCACCAAGTCTCGAACTGTACGCTGGAGGCCTTGAACTTGAGCCTGCCTGAATGTGGAGCGCACATGATGCAACCTTCTGCTCCGAAGTATGCAGCGCCCCACGCATCTGACGCAGCTGCTGGCTCCTTCGCCTCGAAGAGGTGTCTTTGTCAAAATCTGCGTCTGACGGTCAGCTGCCCATTTGCGCCTTGTAGCCGGCAGGCTGCCACCTGCGCGGGGCAAGTCTCGGCTCGGCGCTTGCTGAGAGCTGAAGCGGCCTCCTGGTTCTGTGCGAGGATACTTCCTGCAGTCAAGGATCAGCCTTGCGCGGCTTACCTGAAGGTCTCCTAGCCCAGCCTTGCATCCATGACCCATTAACGCAACAGACACGGTGGGCTGCTCCTCCAGCTGCTCCTCCTCATCGTCGTCCTCAGCCTCCTCCTCATCGTCATCGACTGCATCGTCCTCGTCATCGTCGTTGTCGTCATCCTCCTCAGCTTCTCAAGACAGTACAGATCTCTCTCGAATCGTGTACTGTAAACGCGCAGTCCTCCTCACAGTCCTCCTCGAGCTCCTGAGTCAAAACAGCGTGGGCCGTTTCCTCAGAGTTCTTGCCTTCTCTTGTGGCCTCATCTTCATGCGCTTCGGCATCCCTCTTTCCACCTCAGCAGCTTTCAAGAAGGAGAATCGTTCCGGGCGAGCTAGAGCCCCGGGCTGTTCTTCAGTTTCCAGGTTGTGCGGAAATCTCTGGTGTTCCTGCGTCTCCGAACCTCAGAGAATGAGTTCGGGGTTCTTCCCTCATGTCTTTTCAACATCGGCTCTGGGTGGCAAGGCCGGCTGGCAGGGAGGCCGGCGACCGTTAATGCCAGGCAGGCCTTGACTTGCGATCTCTTCGAAAGCGCTTCAACAGACACAACAAGGGCTGTGCGCATGCGAAGCTCCAACGATGGAGCCTGCACGGAGACCTGCAAGGAAGGTGATGACTTCGACAGGATCCCATCGCGGAACTGTGACCTCCGGCCTGTTTTTCCATCTCCCCACAGACTTCGCACCATACCTGTTGCAAGCCAGGGGACGGTACCAGTATGCTGCAAGAAGGTGGAAAGCTCCGGACCGACTCTGTCAGGATCTGTAGCGGGCCACTCACCTCCAGAGAGTTTGCCATTGCGGCACAGTGTGCCTGTATCCCAGGCTCCACACAACATGCACATCGCCTCTGGCATCTCATTTGTGAGCTGCTCCGGCGAGGTCGACCTGGCGGCAGCAACAAAATGGTCCCTCGCCGCTGCTCGCATCATGAATTCCGTTCCCTAGGCTTCGTACTGGACTTGGCACACCACCAACCCCCCCCTCTCCCCGCAGTAAACATGCGAGCACTTCTCTGCGAAAGGATCGTCAGCCTCTGCAAAGCTCGTGTTGCAGTGAATCTCAAGACAAACCTCCAAAAACCTCCGGGGCCTTGGCCCTGCACACGTTGCACACGGCACACCTGGCCGCTGGCCCAAGCTCAGACGCAATGTTCTCTCCAGGACGCTGCTTTGCCGGACGTCGCAGCGTCGCAGCAGCCAGTGAGCTCTTGCTCTGTGCTGCAGGAAGTGGAATGGGCCGCAAACTTGCCGGCATCGCATGTCCGGCGCAGGATCATCCTTCACGTTGACACGTGCTGGGCCGTCCAGAAATCAACCCAGAATCGCTCCGCCTCTTCAGTGGAGCCGTTCTTGCAATGACTCCTTAAGGCTTGCGTTGAAAGTCCGGCTTCGCTTCGCCGGTCGCGACATCGCGGAGCAGCTGAGCCCTGCGCCAGCGCAGGAGACCGTCCACCTAAAAGCTTTTGTTGACCCATCGTCCCCAAATGAAGTAATCGAAGCCACTCCAAGGACAGTACGTATTTTGCAAATCGGCCTACCTCGATCGCGGCAGGAGCTTCTTTCGCTCTGCAAGCACAACACAGTGCTGAGAAACCAACGATGAAGTCGGGTGTTCTTTGCCCTAGAACTCGGAACTGCTGAAGAGCTGCGCTTCGCTCCTGAAGCAAACTTCTGCCAAAAGCCAAGTGAGCGGGCTACTTAGGACCCTTTCCTTGCTTGTCTTGAGTTGGCCCAAAATGCGGATGATTTCCGTACCTAGGAGCATGCCACAAAACATCATGAAACCGATGTAAGTGCCCGATGATGCATATGACAGACAGTAAGGGTCGGTCGTTCCTTGCTGTTAAAGTGGAAGCGGCGCCTGGGTCTGCTCTGCGACGGGTAAAGAATAGGTTTTGCTAGCAGAGAGAGGCGGGAAAGAGCGAGAGAGCGAGGGACAAACGAACGGACCGGCGGGCAGACGAACAGGGGAGAGAAAGGGACAAAGAGCGAGAGAGAGAGAGAGAGAGAGAGAGAGAGAGGCAGAAAGACAAGAAGAAGAGAGTCTCAGGATCCAGCATGAACTCATCTCTTCGACGAAGGGTCAAGCGACTCTCCTTGCAAAAACAGAATCACCCACAAGGCGTGGCGCCTGTTTTTAAATTGAGGACTCGACATGAAGCTCGTCTATGTCTGCTCGGCGCTGAATCCTCAAGTGGGGGAGTTGCCTCTGCTTGACTCTGCTGCCTTCGCACATGTACGACGAGGCAATGACAACAGGCAGAGGGAAGCTGGGATCTGAACGAGTGCCGGTTCCCGTGTCCATGACTCTCCTGCACAGACACAGATCCCACAAGTAGAAAATTGGCAAGCCAGTGGCAAAACTGCAGAGATGAGCGGTGTTGTTCATCACAATGGTTCGAGCTGCGCTGCCTGTCTGCTCACCTCCGGATGGAGAAGCACTTCACCTGGCAACAAGACGCTTCGCAACAAGCCGAAGCTTCCATCAAGCACTCAAACATCGATGAGGGGAAGACACATCTGCCGTGCAGATTCAGGAAGCCGTGCACTGGATGTCCTTCGATTCAAGCGTCCCTTTCGAGGCTGATGAAACCCTTTGCTTGCTGGTCCTGTCCAAGCTCAGCTCATGGAGTAGAACGCGACGCCTTGGGAACCCCAGCTGCTCCGTCAATCCAGAGGGCAAGTGCTCCGCTCTGCTCTGCTATACCTGACAACCGCATAAGTGCCACGCAGTTCCGGAGGCAGGTGGCAAGCAACAGCAAAGGGATCTTCCTGAAGTTGCTGAGTCTGGTGAAGCTTCGATCATGCGGCAGAAAGAGGCTCCTTCTTTTCCGACTCCATAGAATCCATGGCCAGCAATGTACCTCATGCAAGAGACGTTCTCCGGCACTTGCACCCCCTCTTCCTCTGGATACTGGGGAACAAGCAGCGCAAGTAGCATGCATGTAGGAATAAGCGTGGGCAAATCTCAGCCTGTCAGCTCATGTCGGGTGGCACGAGGACAGGCTTGCACGATGCTGTAAGAAAGCCAAGATCGAAACGTCATCTTTTGCCTGGCGGGCAATGTGGGAAAGGTATCCACGCAGAAGGAAACTGTGAGCTCGTCGCCTTGTGGGGGTTGTACCGAGCATCGGCAACTATGGGATGCCCAAGAGACGCCATGTGCAGACCTCAATATCTTAGCAAAAGCTCCACATGCAGGTACTGAAGCACACAGCAGCGTCTAAGCACCGGAGTCATGTCAGTGAAAAACAATAGTGCGAGACACATGCAAAAAATACCTCCCTGATAGCAGATACTGTTTCGGCGCAGTGCGTGTTACCTGCATTAGAAAAAGCATAGATAGCAAGCCATAGTAATAGTTATCCGATAGTGTGCCCAGTGCACTGCACCTGCTTTTGCTCAGACTGGTCTTTTTGGTCTCTGCTTGAATTTACGGTTTCCGAGCACCTGCGATCAACGGTAGAGATGCGCCCACCTTTCTTGATTCATGATGCGGAGGCCCGGCTGGAAGCATCGTGGTCGACCTCTCGTCGCGACGGTCGCAGCAGACGTCATCATCCTCAGAATCCCAGTAAACACGCGGCTCGCTGTTGGAAATGTGCTCCCCAAATGATCCAGTCTGAGTCTGCCCATGTCCCAGATGCCTCCAAATATTGTGGGCCTGCTACTCAGACTACTCGCGCTCCTGGGAGCATTCGCTCAGGACGCTTGTTTCACACCAAAGCCTTGATGATCTGGACCTGATGAGGAGGTCATGCGAGATGCTTCTCCCTTTGGAAGCCGTCCAGCAGCTTGTACGTTGTGGAAAGACATGGAAAAACCTGGGTCGAACTAGCCATCGGTACCGGGACCCTGGCTGTTTCGGGCAGCCTGCCAGCGCTCCACCTCACCCTTCAAACCTTCAGCTCTGGCTCGCAGCATCGCCGCCTTGTCACCGAGCCCATCGGAGCTTCCCGCAGCTGCGCCTGCTCCGCCCGACGCGTCGCCCACTGGCCCTGCGTGCCCGGAACTGGGCACCGGCAGCGAAGGGACTGGGCCCTGACCTGTGACAGGTCATACAGTATCTCAGTATCTATCCTCGGAAACCCCCCCCCAAAAAAAAACGAAGCAGAAAGTTCTGAGGCTTCTTTGTCTTGTGACTATGCTTGTGAATGAATTTGGGCCCCCAACTCTGACCTGGTCCTCTGTCGAAAGTTCGACCGAGCCTCTCCCGTCTCGCGTCGTTTGTAATGGCCAAAGGGGTTCCCATGGCAGATACTGCCACCGTGGCACGGCGCTCTGCATCAAAGAGCTGGTCCGTGAGGTCCTTGAGGTGTGCTTCCTTCTGGGCCTGGTCAAGCCTCAGCCTCCGCAGCTCCTTCTCAGCATCTTCTGCACGGTGCATGATCGATGCACCTCTGGCAGCCTCAGCCCGCACCTCGGTAAGGGCCGATCGCAGTGTAGCAGACTCGGCTGCGCGTGCCCGGTCTGCCAAGAGCTTCGTCTGCTGACACGCAACCTCTTCCTTGCTCAAGTCGTGCCGGAGGCCCAAAGCCTCCTTGCGCATGGCAGCCGCCTCAGCACGCAGCGCACTCGCCTCGGTGGTGGCCGCGTGAATCGAGGCATCGCGCTGGTCAAGGAGACGTGCCTCCTCATGGCGACTGGCATGCATCAGCTGAGCTTCTGCAGCTTCGCCTTCAGACCAGCCTTCAGTCTCTGCGAAATAAAACCAGCCCGCAGCTTGTAACTCCAGGGATCGCGTTGCTTTCTCCTGCGACAGCTCTGCACGTGCTTCAGCAGCAGAAACCTCCTCCTCGCCAAGCTTAACCAAAGCTTCTTCCCCCTCACCGGCCAAATGCAAAGCTCGTTCTGCTTCTCCTAGTCTGCCGGAAGAGTCTTGTGCTTCTTCTTCCATCCAAGCACGCAGAGCCAACAGCTCACTGCGGCTGGCATCCATGAGATCTTGCAGAAGTAGACGAGCTTCGCCAGTTGCCGCCTCTGCACGTTCGGCTTCTGACTCGGCCATGAGTTGGCAAGTGGCTTCGGCAGCCAAGGCAGTACGCAGCATGTCCTCAGTGTCCTTTGCACCTTGAACAGCAGACAGAACTGCCGTCTGGTTCTCATCTCGTAAAGCACGCCGGATCTTTTCCAATTCGACCTGCGATTCATCCTCTTTTGATAGTCGCTTCTCTGCGGCTTCCAGCAAGGATCTGAGGCGAGGCAGCTCCATTACTTCTTGCTTCAGATGTGCCACCTGGACCTCCAAGTCTTCAACTGTGCTGTTGGAGGCCTTAGTATGATCAGCAGAGTCTTCGATCAAAACAACTTCCATGCTCTCTTCCTTGGCCTTACCATCCATCACTGCTGGAGCAGCATTCGACAGCTCGTCTCCAGTCCAGGCCGAAGACAGGCCCGGTTGAAGAAGCTCCTCCTCCAGCTGATGACCCCGCTCGACGGCTCTTTGCAACTCCTGCCTCAGGCCAGCTTCCTGCTCCGAGGACTCCTCTGCAACCGCACGCAAGGCGGCTGCTGCAGCTTTGCGACGCTCGACCTGCAAGCGCTTGCGCCAACGCTTCTCCTCCTCCTGCATCTGTGCCAGGATTTCTGCGTGCAGCTCCACCGTCCGCGGATTGGGACCGGCGGCTTCGGCAGGTGGGGGAGGTGCAGGAGGTGCATGGGCAGAAGCTACCTGCCGCCTCTGCAGACCGTCCTGCCTGTCTTCCACAGAAGAGCGCCTGCCTTCTGCATGAGACCTTTGCAAGGCCTCGGCCGCCTCCTGCGCCTCGGTCTCTGCCCGGGAAACAGATTGCTCGAGCTCCGCGTACTTCGCCTCCATCTGCGAAATAGCAGCCTCTAAGTCCGCAAGGTTGTCCTCAAGTTCTGCTTGGGAGGGTCTGGAAACCTCAACAGGATCTGCTTCGGAGAACGGCGAGCCGACCGAGAACTGCGGACTTGCCCGTCTTGAGGACAGCATTGCTTCGCTTGGGTGAGGCACAGCTTCACTCTGCGATGGTAGGTTCGAGGGGTCATCTCCCAGAATGTCAGACATGCCAGGAAATCCAAAGGAAGGTGAGGGCAAGGGCGGGGGTGAGGTAGAGCGTCCGGTTACAGCAGGTGGTGATCTTGGCGGTCGCGCCGACCCTTGAGCAACAGAGCCAACCGTGATGCTCGGGCTTCGTGGAGGCAAAGGCCTCCGGCTCGGGGTCAATTCTCGCTGTCGGCCCGATCGCCCGGACACTTCCGATTCTGATGCCCCTGCAGTCGGTGAGGAACTTCTCCCCGGGCGCTTCTCCGTCTGCCTTCTTGGGCCCTCTTGCTTCTCCGAACGTGTTGCTGAGCTGTCGTCCCGAACCTCCGAAACCCCGGCGAGCTCGGCCAACTCTTCACTTTGCAGTTGGAAAGCCAGGCGAACACCAAGAAGCTCCTCCTCCAACTGCTGCGCTTGCTGCTCGCTTTGGAGGGCGGCCTCGCCCAAGAGCTCTGTCGAGTCTAAGACCTCCTTCGAGAACGGCGTTTGTGGGATCGGGTGAAGTTTACAGGGGCCGGCAGTTCTGCAATGATAGGGAAGCCAAAACACAGCACCGTTCCGAAACCAAAACATTCGACTTTCTCTCCTGGAAAGTTCCCTGCTGCTCGGACAACTTCTCGTTCTGCAGATGGATCTGCGCTTCCAGGCGGTTGACTTCCTCCTCCATATCTGGGACGTGGGAATCTTGTTCCTGCGGCAGCTGCGGGTCCTCAGCAGCATCTCCGATTCAAGGAGGCAACAAGGACACTTCACAACGAAATACAGAAGCCTGATGCTAAGAAACCCCCAACTTCTCCAAGCAGGGATCTACCGCCTGGTCGGACCGCAATGGGCTGCGAAGCTTAGGCATCATGCCTTCGCCATGCCAGTCACTGCTGATGGAAAGCAAAGCAATCTGAACCTTGTCGAGGTCGTCCTCAGCAATCTGAGACGACATTGCCTAGTGAGTTTTCCAAGGCTCCAGCAACAGGAGGTTTGCCATTCGACCACAATTCCTATGCTACCCGGTCAGGTGACTTTCTGCGTGGCCAGTGGGCACCATGATTCTTCTGAATAATTCCACTGCTACTGCCACTAGAGTTACAACTTCCGCTACCACGACCACTGCAAGGACGACGACTGCTGCTGCTGCCACTACACCACCACCACCACCACCGCGACGACGACTACTACTACTACTACTACTACTACTACTACTACTACTACTAATTATTAATATTATTACCATGATTAGTACTATTTTTGCATTTTGAGTTCTATCGCAGACCACCACCACCACCACCACCAGCACCACCACCACCACCAGCACCACCAACACCACCACCACCACCACCACCACCACCACCACCACCACCACCACCACCACCACCACCACCACCACCACCACCACCACCACCACCATCACCTCCACCACACCCACCGGCACTCACACGACCCTCTACTCTTACCTGTGACTTCTGTTGCTGGTGGTACTATTGTTGTTTACATTTTCCTGCACTACTGCGAGTTACCTGCAGCAGTCGTCGTCGCCGTCGTCATCTTCGTCTTCAGCTGAACTTCTGCGAGGTTTAGCTGTGCTACGGGTACGGCTTGAGGCGGGTTTCACTGCAAGTAACCTGAACTGTGACGATTGAGCTTGGGCCCTCCAACCTCCGAAAGAGTCGATGGAAGAGAGGGATTCCCGCGCGACGACATGACGAGTCCAACATCAAGACGACAACTCACGATGCAAGTGCTTTCGCAGAATCCAATGCTTGAACCTTCACGGAGGCGCATGTCAGCTCCTGGATGAGGTTTGAGTGACTTCAGACGTTCGGCCTCAGTGATTCTCCGTGCGGCCGAGATTCCGCAATCTGGCGAAGGCCAGGCTCAGTTTCTCTTGGCCACGGCAGTGCCTCACAGGACAGAGAAGGCAGCCAGAAGAATGGCAGACAGCAGTGGATCGAAGTTCGGGCCTCCATCACTGGGCCAACGGTGATGTGATCCGACAGCTCCAAGCTCTCGCCCGATGCGCCCGGTAGAGATGAAGATGCGGTCGGCTCTGCGCGGTGCTGCGCCGCCTGCGGATCCGGAGAGGTCGGGGCGGGAATGGCCTCCAAGGGCGGGGGCTGGAGGGCCGCCTGCTGGGCGGGCAGGGCCTGCGGGCTCTGATGGATTGGCTGGCTCTGTGCCACTGAAGGAGGGCATGCTCCAGAGAGGCGCTGCAGCAACTCTGCGTTTTCGTCGACGGCCCTCAGACGGAGCGTTCTTTCTTTGTGCAGTTCCACCCGTGCGGCATAGAGGTCAGAGTCGTGAAGCTCTTTCCGTGCTTCTTCGGCATGCGCAAGAGCCGTCGCTTCCTCGGCAAGTGCTCTGGCCGCTGTGGTTTCGGCGAAGTCAAACCCTTGGGCCTTGGCCACAAGCTGGAAGGCATCCCTTCCCAAGTCGCCCTCCACCATAGCTGCAGTGGCCTCTTCCAGTTTTCGGAGCCGACCAGACAAAAACTCCTCCATCTCTTCTTGCTGCGGAATCGTGCTGCGAATGGCGTTTGCTTCTTGCACCAAGGGATCCTCCAACTGAAGCGTCATCCGTCTCGCTTCATCATTGCGCCTTCGCAAACCACGGACTGCAGCGTTCTCGGCTCGCACCAGGGACTGCTTTAGGTCTTCTCTTTGCTGTACTGCCTGCTGGACAGTTGACTCTATGTCGCTACCAGCTGTTCGGTGGAAGGAACGCATGGCAGCCTTTTCAATTCGCAGCTCCGTCCTTACACTTTCGATCTCATTCTCCTGACTTTGGCTCGCCTTATGGCTTGCAGTCACCGTTCCCTCCACCAGCTGCCGCTGCAGGCCCCGTGCGACGGCCTGCTCCATGCGCAAAGGGAGATTGCCGGAGCCACCTACTTCGGCTTCGCTCATCATCTCTGCTTCACAATTCCGCACAGCCTGCTGCGACCTCTGAAGATCTGCTTTCACCTTCTTCATCGTCGCCTCCAACTCTCCCAGCTCTGTCTTCAGGAGATTCTCCCTCGGACCAGCGCCATGCATCTTCTGCCGTGCAAGCTCGCCTCGAGCCTCGTCCAGCTCCTGCCGTAAGAGCTGCAGATCGTTCTCCTTCTCGGAGCCGTCAAGTCCGAGACTTACACCCTCGGACTCCGACTGCGCGAACTGTCTCCCAGGAGCCCGGGCTTCAGCCAGCTCACTGCGGAGGCGCTTGATCAAGCCCTGGGCACTTCTGGCCTCGTCTCGCAGCTTTGCCCGCTCTGCATGTGCTTTTTGGAGCTCTGCCCGACTTTCTTCGAGCTCTGCTTCAAGAGCATGTCCACCACCGGGCTCGATGGCCGCTCTCAAGCTCGCAGTGCCTGCAGGTGTCGGAGCACTTGCTGGCTCTGGACCGGACGTGGGCAGCGCCTCCTCCTGGATGTTCCCGACCTCGGGCGTCGGCCTGCTGCGTAAGGGCGCCGCGTCCACCACTTGCATGTCGGTTTCCCGAGGTCTCTCTGACACCTCTGCAGCTCTTGGTCCAGCTCCGCCTGGCTTCAGCTCGCTGACATTGGCTTGGCTGCCAGACTGGCTTATGAGCGTGTTCTTCGATGCAGGCTTCGACTCCACCTCCTTGCTCCTTGGGAGGGAGGGCGCGGGTGCAGGGGTCACTGAGTCATCTGCCGAAATCTTTGCCGTGGCCTCTGCTGGAGAGGCATCCAAGGTGCCTTTTTGACTGGGGCTGCTGGTGGTGAGTTTGGATGGCTTCGATGGTGGGTCTGCAGGTAAAGCGGCTGAAGCCGGCACCGTTTTTGTCGGTGGGTCAAAGGAAAGATGGTCGTCATGGCCCTTCTTGGTTGGAACTCCACTAGATTCCGATGCCAAGGCTGGGGCCTCTGTGGCCGCCGAGGCTTCGACTGAGGCCTTCGCCTCGGCCTTGCTCACTTTGGCTTCGGCTTTTGGCTGCAGCGGCTGGGCAGGAGGCGTCTGTGGCTGCGAGAGCGGCGCAGCAGTCCTTGCGGCCTCAGCCTTGGCTGCGGCTTTGGTGGCCTCAGCCTTCGTGGCCGCCGCCTTGGCCGCCTCAGCTTTTGCGGCCTCGGCCTCTGCAGCCTCGGCTGCTGCAGCCTTGGCTGCCTCCGCCTTGGCTGCCTTCGCGGCCTCAGCCCTGGCTGCCTCCGCTGCTGCAGCCTTCGCGGCCTCTGCCTTGGCAGTCTCAGCTTTTGCTGCCTCCGCTTTTGCTGCCTCAGCTTTGGCGGTCGCAGCCTTGGCAGCTGCCACCTTGGCTGCCTCAGCCTTGGCTGCCTCAGCCTTGGCGGCCTCAGCTCTTGCTGCATCAGCTTTGGCGGCCTCGACCTTGGCGGCCTCAGCCTTTGCAGCCTTGGTCTTGGCCTCCTTAGCCTCAGCTGCGATCCTTGCAAGTCGCTTCGCCTGCACATCCGAATCACTTGCCACGAAGACCAGCGTGAGAGGACGCTGCTGCGTGATGTCGCGAAAATCATCATCGGAGACATGCTCCAGGTCTCTGCCCTGTGCTCGCACCAAAGAGTCTCCTGGTATGATTTCTTGTTCCGCAGCCCAGCTTCCGGAGGAGACTGACTTCACTTCGATGTGACCAGGGGGCAAACTTGTGAACACCAGCCCCAGCTTCGCAACATCTTCCGGCACGACTGCCTGGAACAAGTCGTCTGTGAGCGCCATCTGCGAGCTCTGGGCAGGGCCCGGCCATGATTGCAGTCAGGCCCAGGACTCAGGGACAACTTTGGCCTCGAGCCTCAGCGCCCTCAACACGTCCACGTCTTGCACGAAGGGGGGATTCCGGAATGCAGGCAAGAGTCGGATCTGGTGCTGCCGTCCATGTTCGATCTGCACCTCTCGCTTGCAGGATCAGATGCTGCCATCAACTGAAACTCCGCACCTGGAGCAAGCTGAAGCTCCCCCAAGCACCATGGAAGTATCCAAGGACACGGAAGCGGGTCACCTGCCGTCCCATCACCATTTGAGCAGGTCACTCTGTAAGCTGTCCTCATACACAAGCATGCGCCGCACCGCTTCACGGCCCTCTGTTGAGCAGGCGCCAAGAGGCCTCGCGAATCGCACTGCATACGCGAAGGGCAACAGAGGTCTGAGAAAGCAAAAAAAGCCGTCGCCTGTCCGCTCGGCTCAGAGCCTCAGTCTCAGTCGTCGCTCGCGCATTTTAATTGATCCTTCGCTCAGCAAAACTCGGCCCATCCCTCAAATGAGGCCAAAAGGCCAAGGGCGCTGAGAAGACTCCCATCCCTGGCTCCACCATGCCATGGCAGAGGCCCACCTCGAAAGGCTCCGCGGACCGCGAGGAAACGGGAGTGCCAAGAGCCCTCGCCGAGGCAGCGACATACTGCTTCACGATCCCTTTGTTCAGAATTTGCTGACCTCACTCAGAGAAATCTGTGCCACCATCATCCGTCATGCTATCAGCCATCTAAGGTAAGCGCAGATGTGCTTGGAAGCAGTCTTGTTGGTGCCCACTAACTCGGCCGAGTGCAGAAAAAGAAGCCAGCAAATGCTTCAATGGAGTCTTGTTGGGGATCAGGCCACAATGCCGGAGGTGCCTTTGTCAAGGCGATGGCATGGAGCCGCAGTTGGGGCCTGGGTCCACCGTCAGCCGAGGCTTCATAGAGGCGGCCACGTTATACCCCGGGGTTGCCAGCGTTGAAGTAGCACCACACATGTCGAATGAGGTTGCCTTCGAGGCCTTCCGTGCACCCGTGTTCCACACTCCAAGCCCCGCAGGCCACAAACGGCCTTCCCATTGAGGGGTTGAGCAGGTTGCCCATCCAGAAGGCTTGAACCTGTCATGGCGAAGCAAGAGCTTACAGAGCAGGTTCTCAATCAGAAGACTGGGTTGTGGGCATTGCCATGATCTGATAGGTCTTGCGTTCATCCACCAGGACCTGGAGTCTATGCCGAGGAGAGGAGCTGTTCTGACGGGGAGTGGCCACAGCCGCCTGAGGTCGGAGTCCGGTTGGCATATGCGAGCATCCTTGCTTTTTAGATAAGGCTGCAGTCGGAAGAAGCGGCATGTGGAGTCTTCCCCCCAACCCCATTCTCACTTTTCCCGCGACCTCTGAATGCATCGTGCCCGACGAAAGCTTTTGGATGCCTGGCAACAGAGGCAAGCGGCTGGGACGCACACGAATCAGCAACATGCTTGGGGCCTTGGATCCATCAACGGCCACACCAAACTCTCCCAAAGTGCTGAGCTCAGTCCGGCAATGTGCGGCAGTGGCCTTCAGTCACCAGACTGTATGCTGAAATAAGCTGGGTCTGAGGCTGAGAGCATGACAAGGGAGAGCTGAATTCATCTGGCTCCTGGACAGGCTTCATGTCATCAAGCCCACCTACCTCTTGCAGAATCCAGCAGCCTCGGTTGTCTTTTCAGGACTGGCTCCACAGATGAGCTGGGCTTCTTCCACAGCCTCTGCACCGCGCAGACTGCCACTTTAGCGAGACCCGCCACGTGTTGCGGCTTTCTGCCTAATTGAAGAGCATTCCAGACTAAGCCACACGCAGAGGTGTCAGTGTGTTTTGGTGCCCCTGTCCTCCACACCGGCAGCTGCAATCTTTGCAAGTCATCTCGTCATCTCGGGGTCAGAAGAGCCTCAAGAGCTCCAGGAGGCTGCGTCCCATGTCCACGGCGTTTACGGGAGGCGCGGCGTCTGTGCTAAGCCTGTGCCACAGACGACGTTTATATCGGATGTGAACGGCATAGCTCCGAGGATCTCAGGATGCCAGAGCCGGCTGACGGGCCTCTCACTGCCTTCACTGGCGGAGTAGGGCTCTTCGAGCAGGGCCACATCTTCAGGCAAAGCTGTGTCCGACTCGGTGCCGGTGCCTGGCAAGCAATCACTATCAGCATCACATATCTGCAGTGCCTTCCCCCTCGAGCACCTGTGTCTGCCGGCTCTGTCTCAGAGGAGGCTGTGCCCTCCTGCAGCTGGCGGCAAAGCTCGGACTCCCTCGGTCACGCTTTTGCGGAGCGAGGCACCGCGCCTTGGGAAGGGTCCCCTGCATCTCTGGCTCAAGGATCTCGTGCACCTCTCGGCGCACACGCAGGTTTCGGGCGTCAAACCGAGTCGCCTACGCGCCTCGCAGCTCGATTCGCCAGAAGAGCCTGCAGCCAAGCGTTCAAAAAAAAACTGAGCAGGGACCTGGGTACCAACTCAATCTATTTTGGCCTGATTCCGGCTGCTGTTCTCCACCTGGGGGTCTCTCTCGGAGTCACACAACAACCGACGAAGGCAAACTCAGAAGGCGGCCGGCAGGCGACAAATCTTCGAAAGCGAGTTGAGCCTGCGACGTCCTCAAGCTTTCGACCCGGGAGTGTCTCATGCGCTTCGTTTACAGATTAGTCCATGTCTAGGGATGCAGCAGACCCTTCGTCGAACGCCACACTCCTCGTGCGAATCAAAAGCTCTCTGCACTCGCAGGCACTAGGAAACCAAGATCTGCACGTACTTCGCGAGAACCAGGTGTCTCCACCTGTAGGATTCCGCAAGAAGCGCCAGGGCAGACCCGTGAACAAAAAGGGCCTCGGCAGCTCGAGCCTCGGCTTCCTCCGCCATCTCCGTCGTCTCGTCTTTGGCCTCTACGGACTCAGCCTCGAATCCGTGGAGAAGCCGCTGGCCTCAAAGGCTCTGGCTTAAGGCCACAGGCATTCTCAAAGGTTTCAGCTGAGCCCCGCCTATTCCAAAGCAAGTGGACAATGCAGCCCTGCAAGCTTCACCTTTGCTTCGCAACAACGGTCTCACACAATGGCTCCTTTCTTGTCCCTTCTGCATGGCCTGCTTGAGTGCTGAGGTTCCCAATCGTGAGGCAATTGGTCCTGCTGAATACAAGCAACATGTCAGGCGGCACTCTGCCAAGGCAAAGGCCCGCTTTCAGTACAAGCCTTGCCTGTCCATGACCAGCCCGTCGAATCTCTGCCCATATACAAGCTGGGCTTGATAACAGCGATGCGAAGCGACATTCGATGGGTCTTGTGGAGCACACTCAGTCAACGGATGTACAAACCATTCGCTGCCCACTCAGGCCGGATCCATCTTGCAAGCACACTTTTCGCTAGCGCATGTGTCATGATGTTCGCTCTGCTGCGACATGCTCATTCTGATGCCTGGCGCTTGGGTCGGAGCACGCTGGTCACTACCGCAGAAGCAGAAGACCGTCATTCCTGAAGCTGGCCGGGAGCACACGCTGAGAAAGGTGATGACAACGATGACGGCCATGGCAACGATGCCGAGGAGCATTCGGCCTCCAGCGTGCGTGACGATCCCAGCAAAGGAATCGAAGTCTCAAGATATCCGATTGCCTCTCTGGTCGCGCCACCAGAGGTCATCGTTGTAGCGCTTTGCGTTCGTTCGGAAGGAGACCTCAAATTCTACCAACACCCTTTCCAAGGCTGATCGGCACAGGACTGTCCAGCTCTGCCTGAAGTCAAGGGCTCAAGCAGACTCCGACTTCAAAGCGGCGGTCTTGTCGAGCAAAGAGTCGATGCGCTCGCCGCGCTCGATGACCTTTGCTGACCGGACAACACCGCAACATCTCCAAAGAGGACCATGAAGCCATGAAGCCATCCCGTGCTTCGCATATGCAAGACCATGCTTCACATACACTGGAGCTGAATTCTGTAGGTTACTTTGACGTCTTAAGAAAGGCGCCATAGTTACCATTGTTTGTTCTGAACATCCAGGATGCTTGGTTAGAGAGTCGAAGTTCGATTGGGGAACGCACTGTCCTCTCCACCCGGACTCGTCAGTCCAGCCATCAAAAATCATAAACTGTGGGAAAGCCATCTGAGCCCTGTGAGACCGACATGGTCACCGAGCCGCCTTGGCCAGGGCATTCTGAGTAATGTCAGCCACATCCTGCACGGGGCGTTCTGAATTCGAGCGCAATCCGTCGAGCCAAGAACCACCAGCTCCTCGAGATCTCTTTCCATCTGCTGCATCTTACCACCGCCATCACTGTTATAGCGCGAGATGAGATCTCGCAGCATCCTCGTCACAGGTCTTAAGAACTCGAAGCGCCACAGAAAGAAGTGAAGCCGACTTGAACCCTACAGTGTCAGACAGACATTCGACGTGCTCCTGGCAAGCTCGTCCTCGCGATGTCCCAGCCGTCGGGTCTGTGCCTTTCAACAGTCGAGGTGGCAGGAGGGGGCCAGTTGGACCAGAGATCAGCTGCCGGCAGTGGCCCTTTCGTGCTGCATGGAATACCGTGGGTTCACAACATGACGAGCATGACGGCTATCGAGCTCTGCATGGTGCATAGTCGTGGCACGCAGAGTTTAAGTTCGAGAATCCAAGATCCCAGAACCAGAATTACTTCGATCTGGGTCATGCCACGCTTGCCCGACGGCTTGTGCATTTTTTCTTCTGTCATGCTTGTAGGATTTGCGTCGCTATCGCTGCTATAAAGATGAGTCCTGCATTGCTGCTTGGATCTTCGGCGTTGGCTTCACACCAACGCCCTTTGGTCTTGATCCCGCCTGTTTAACATAATATGCTAGTCTTATCAACAGTCTGATGCAGTGAAAGCCGCAGCGGTGAACAGTACATGTTGAGGTGCACTTTACAGTTCGGCCTGACGACAAGCACGGAAGGAGGATAAGAGAGTCATTTAATAAAGTGTGTTTCCTTCCCAGGTGTTGCACAACCAAACCAAGCTCAATGTCGAGCCACCCCTGCAAGCCAAGGAAGCTACAAGCTCTGCCAGCCTCAAAACTTCGACGGAACTCGCTGAGAAACTCAAAGACCTCTGCGGTGGTTCGCTCAGAAACGCTCTGACAGAGTGAAGAATATATCGACAAAGCGTTCCTGCTTAGGGCGCGAGCCATTTCGGTGCCGGCGCTAGGGGAGGCGATACACAAGAAGATCAGCTCCTTGGGAGCGGACGCCGAGGCTGCAGCAGCGGCTTTGCTCTTTCCTGAAGCCTTGTCCAGCAAGTAGTTGAAGGTGTGACCTCCATACACATAGGACCTCAAAGACTTTACGAAGGTGGCAAGCGCAGAAGAGCAACTCACGAACTGCAACTCCGACTCTGAGGCTGATGCTTTATGGCCCCTGTACGCGGTATCTTGGGGAGCACCTGACCATAGCTGCTGCACCTTTTGAAACGAAACACGGATGCTGCTTGCGGTGCTTGCGGCCTTTCGCGAGACTTCCGTCAAGTCATCGGAGCCTGCTACTTAGCTCCATAGCGACAGGAAGGCTGCCAGACATTCTTCAAAGCTCTGCATGTGTCTTCGGACGAGCTGTAAACCCCTCAAATGCTTGACGGCCTGGTGAGGCATCATACTCGCAAAGGACGAAGGTCCTCAGCTGCAGCTTCTCGAAAGCACCGCGTGTGGCGGTTGACTGGGTGACAAGGATTGCCGGACATTGGCACCATTACACCCCTTGCAAATAAGCAGAAGTCCGCGCAGGCAGAACTCTGCTGAGCTCCGCACCCCCTCGCCACCGCTGCAGACAAGATGAGCATCCGAGGCCTTTTTCCAAACCAGAGCAGCCCTGAGGATACTCAACGGCTCATAGCTCAAGCTATTGACGCTCTTTGACTCTATGTCTGGCACACCTATACCACTCACAGAAACACAGGTCTTAGCGCATCATCATGCATCATCACCATCGGTCTTCCTAGCGAAGTAATAAGAAAAACAGACTCAGGCGGCTGCATGCTGCGTTTGATGCTGTTGCGTGGCACGTAGCCTGCAATTGAACACGGAGAATGCCGCCCCAAGCAAGCTTGTCACTTATCATCATCACCACCATAATATCTCATCATCAACACATATCAACATCGTCGTCATCAGCAGCAGCAGCAGCAGCAGCGGCTTCACTCATCATCGCCATCGGCAACATCACCATCATCACGATCGCGACCTTCATCGTCATCAGTAAAGGGCTGCTAGGCTTTACCTGCGAAAGAGTTTCGGCACAGATGCACGGGTGGGGATAGGTTGGACGCGCCTCGGCGTCTGCCGCCGGCAGCCCCGGCACAACTACAAGGTGCCGCACTGACGCACGCTGGGCTCTTAAGTCGGCACTGTAAACTCTAATCTGCCTGCAGTTTCAGATCCAATCATTCTAGACGAATGCACGTGCAGCAGTCTCACGGCGTTGTATGGAAGCCCGCTCTGTGAACATCTGCGCCATTGTGATCTATCAAGGCTGCTTCGTTGCACTGAACTCCTTCAGACGACAATTACCTAAGCTGATTGCCGAAGGCCGGCAGGGTGTCTGAAAGCTTATGTAGGCAACATGCCACTAGTCTGCATTCTGCGTGGCTGAAGATCCTGGCGGTGCCCACGAGAAATCTGGATTCGGAGAAGCTGGCGGGATGGGAGTGATGTTTCAGTGGCATGACGGCAGCAAAAGTCAAGGGGCCGCGGAGCCATAGCAGCAGCCTCCCATTTTCCTTCATCTCTCAGCTTCGGCTTCGGCGACGGCCGCGGCTTCGGTCCCTGGAAACATTCACAGCAAGCCTCCTCTTCTCAGGACCTGGATCGGCCCAGCCTCGAAGGACTCTTTCGACGCTTCGTGCGACCTTTCATTTGCGAACACTCTTTCGAATTTCTGTCTTTTGGCTTAGCAGACAAAAGCCCCCGAATCCAGCCGAGGATGTTCATCAGCTTCTGCAGTACCTACCAGTGCGCTGGCCTCTGCTGCGACTGCGGCTGCTGCTGCTGCTGCGACGTCGACTCCTGAAACGAACGCAGTGACTCCGAACCCGAACAAAATACTGAACGCATTGTGGATCGAAAGCCATGTTGTGCATAGATCCTGCTTCTTTTGTCCAAGGCCCTGCGGAGAGTTTCCTCAGCAAGCAGTCGTCTTCATGCGCTGGCAACAGACGCCGAATGATAATACGTAACGACGTGGTGTGGGGGGGGTGGCATGTCCACTTGTTCAGGATGTCCGTGCAATGTGCATGGCACAGGGATTCGCAAGTGCAGGGGGTTTGCTCTCTGGTGCACTCACTGTCTCGTGATATCCGAGCTTCGCGTCCGGACTCCCAAAGCCCAACGCCTTGACCCCTGGGCAGCCATGCTGACGGAAAACGTCTGAGTTTCAGGTGCTTGCTGTCTCCAGTCAGTGATTGACTGCGATGCACCACGACACAGCAGATTGCAGTCACAGAGTCGCAACTTAACTGATGCGGGGTGCAATGCAACATCACTGTTGGCCCTCTGCCTTCTTATCTGGTCCAGCAACGTCTCGCGAGTTGCAGCCGGCAAGTTGCGTGGAGACCTGCACGCAGACTGCGGCCTCAAACCCTAAACCCTAAGCCCGGACACGTATAGGGGAGAGAGAGAGAGAGAGAGAGAGAGAAAAAAAAAAAAAAAGGCTGCGAAGGAAAGCAAGCAGGTAGACGGTAGACAGGCAGTGGTGTGGATAGGTACGTAGGTCGATAGGTAGATCTGTAGATAAGTAGGGCAGGTCGGCAATGAGAGGGTTCAATCCATAGGCCTCGTCAGCAGAAGGAGTTGCTTCCCCAGGCTGGAGAAACAGCGGTCGGAGGTTGTCGTGTCCAAACCCTGCATGCTGCAAGACATGCCGAAAGATCATGGAGAGCAGATCCCACGTTTCACATGGTGCAAGGAAGCATCGGCATCTAGATAGAGGTGCTTGGGGGCACCTGTTCCGACTCGTGCTAGGGGCTAAACAAGCTTTATGAGTGCTTGGTTTTCTTGCCACCCGTGGGCCGACAGACGAAACATCCTGTGCTGGCTTCCCGAGCTCATCCGAGGCACAGAAGACAGAGCTTCGAAGATAAGCGCCAGCTTCGCAACCTGCAGCGAAACTTATACTTCTACGCACAGACTGGACCACGAAAGCATGCCGTCCCTCCTACGAGCTGTGTGGTTGTAGGAGCAGGTGGGGGCTTAGAAAGGCCATCCTGGTCGCCGTTCAGTGCTTGGCCACGTTCCACCTGAGCCGAACAACAAACAGACCGCACCTTGAAACGGACTGAACGAAAGCCGGTTGCCTCACACTCCTGGGACTCACTGGGCCTTCCGGCTTCCTTCCGCCTTTTGGAGACCTCGTCGCCTTTCTCCGGGTCTTCGCCGAGGACCTGCAGCTGGGCATTGACCAGATCGGACCCATGCAAGATCTGAAGAAAGCTGGGGAGCATCGTTCGCTTTGCGCGCCTCGCTCCAGTAGCTGCAGATTTCTCGGACTTGAGGATGCTTTCCACCCAGCGGAGTAAGACCTATGCCACACAACACAGCAGAAAGAAGCACGTACGGCACCCCCCCCAAAAAAAAAAGCAAACAGCTCTCAGACAACACTCAAGCTCTGTGGCCCTGCGAACCTTGCGTGAGCAGGAGGAGGTGCGCCTGCACATGCCACGAAAAGTTAAAAAGTATAGCAAGTCCACCACAACAGCCTCCACCACCATCACCACCACCACCACCACCACCACTACTGCTACTACTAGGGTCCATCACCCGCGTTTGCCGCACTTCAGGGGTGACTTTCGGGGTGGAGTGGGGGGGGGCTTAATGACGTCCACTTGGTCACCATCATCGTCAACCTCTTCATCAACACGGCATGCTCATCGTTTACGTTCCGGTACTCACATCATCCACACATGAGGTTAGAGCTTGACGATCTCTTTTGGCAGCCTGGCTCGGCTTCTGGGGTTGAGAGAACTCCAGTGCAGCCATACCTTTCGGTGCTGGGTATGCACTCCCACATTTTTGGAAGCGTTGAGCAACCTTTTGGTACTCATCGTCGCTGGCCTTCCTCCGATTCCAGCTCTCCGTGACTTCTGGGATGCTTCCTTTCAAGAACAGCAGGAAACCCACCGAGTCCTCTGTCTCTCAGTCGGTGAGACATCTGCAGAGGCCATGGTTTCCAGCATCTTGTTGGGCCAGCACAGCACTGGGTTTCGCCGAACATGGCGTTCCAAGACACGTCGTGGCTGCTGCCGCCGTAACAAGGCGCATTTGCCAGAGAACGGAAAAGCAAAAACTCGATGTTTATGCGAATTATCAGAACAAAAAACATGTTAAAAAAGGACGCCCAAATCGTCCTGTCTTCGAATGCAAATGAAGCGTTCAAATTTGCATGCACCCTCGTGCACAGCTCCAGAATGTTGTTAAACCCAAGCGAAAACACAGTTTTCGCATAATCGCACTCTGCATGTTGCAATGAAACACACCAATGCAAACCCGTTTGCTGCGCCATGTGCACGGCAAACGAAGTGAATGGAGACTACTACTACTACTACTACTACTACTACTACTACTACTACTACTACTACTACTACTACTACTACTGCTGAATCCCGAAGCACTGCCTTTGTACAGGACCATGAGTGGAGCTTGTGGTTTGCAGGACCTTGAATTGTGGCTCCGTCAAGCGGAGTTTGGCTCGAGGAGCCATGATCGACAGAAGCCAGCAAGGACGTTAAGTCTTAGCTCGTGAGCGAAAGTCGAAGTCCTAAGTTATGCACAGATGCACTTAGGAACTCACGCACTTTGTTGCTGTGCCGTAAAAAGAACGGAAGGTCGTCTCTGCCCATGGCCGTTGAGGTTCCTTCGGGGATCATCCGATAAAGTTTGGAACGATTCTTCGAAGGAGGCGTCAAGCGATGCAGGTTCCAGCTGAAGAGCCTACTCAGGGCGCTCTTCAGGTCTTGAGCCCAAGCGCTCCTGCTGTGCGAGAAGGAGCTTCGAACAGAGCTGGATCTGCTAATGGGTCTGCCGAAGGGCTAGTGAACGGTGTAGCCCCTGCCGCTTCGCAGACTTTGACGCAACTTGTGAGACATGGTGCAGAGAACGTAAGCCTTAAGCCCTTCTGATCTCGAGACGATGAGGGCTCTCCAGGACCAGATGGGTGGCCCAGACTTCGGTGGCCGGGCTGCTGCTGAGGACGCTGTTCAAGGGGTTGTTCAGACTGTAGTGCCTGTTCAGACGATGGACGGTGGTCAAGCTTCGATGGCTGCAGCTATGGCGTTGGAAGATGGGAGTGTTCATGCTATGAGGGCTGATGTGGAAGTGCAGCAGGGTTCTTCTTCGTTGACAGTTGTACGCTGGATTTCGAGGTTGAACGACTTCCTGACAACTCAAGGCCAGTCTGTGTTGGGTTCGGTTGGGTTTAATACGACGCCTACTCAGGGGCCCCGACATTCAGGACTAACACAACAAGCACACACTCCTGTTACCACACCAACACGCAGTCAGCAAGCAGCAGCGGCAGCAGCGAGACACCTCTGGTGTTTTCCCCGCCGGAAGAGTTGCCGCAGGGCAAACCGCCTTGGGGCCCTGACTACACGATTCAGGAGGCTCCGTTGTTCTCTCGAGAGGCCTGGGAGCAGATGATGAGGTTTTCTCAGCGGGCCCCGTGGCTTTATGGTCGAGGAAGGCATTCACAGGGTGATTCGACGACGGGGTCTTCAAAGATTCAGGCGGAGGTGCAGCGCCAGATGGAAGGCTTGATGAGAAGCCAATCACGACAGCTAGATGAGATGCG